AAACAAACAAACTCGAAAGCGAACGTTATTATGAATGAAATTTATTCGTGTTTAATAAACATTTTCTGCAAAATTATTTCCTTTCCCGGGCACAATCTTTGGTTATTTATAATCTTTTATTCCAGCAAAGGAATACTTAATATAATGTGCAATTTCATTTTCTGCGATCGTGAGAGACTTTCATTAATTCCTTTCGTACTAATCGATATCACAAAACAATTCCCAAATTAGAAATTAGTAACGCGGGATCAATACGATAAGGAGACATTGAAAACAATTTAATACGGTTTTGGAGTGACAGATTACAGCCATAAATTATTTCACTACACATACAGCTATTCAGCGACCCTTTGAAATACTACTCTTTATCTTATAGTTACTTATCTTATCTTAATTACCTCCTAATCTTCAAATAAAAAAATACATTAATCCGTCTTATTATATTAGATAATCTTTTTTTCTCGGATTATACCTACCCAATTTGAGTGTGAAATTTTAGATTTTAGAGATTTAGATTATTTTAATATTTATTTTCGTATTCTGCCTGGTACAGTCTGTTCGCTATACTTACGCGGGTTTCAGATTAACAAAATTATGCAAATTAGTCATTGACAACCAGCTCCAATAAGCCTCTTCCCCAAGAAATGAGGTAAAATTGCCCTAATGGTCAGATTTAAATTAAAATAACATTAGGGTAGGTACTAAATTTGTTACAAATATCGCAGTTGAATTGATTCTTTGCAAGTGTTGACATTGTGTGTATATTGTAAAAGTGGAAATTTTAAAAATGCCTAGACGTGTGTTAGATGTAGATAGTCTAATTTGTAGTCTAATAAGTATTTTACGAATGAAAAAGAAAATAGCGGTCCTTTAAAATCGGTAATGTCTGTACAACAACGCATATGCGATGCTCTAGGAATTAGTGAAACCAAATTAAGAGGAGTATTACAAAATCACAATAGTGAACTGCCGAAAGAAGATCACCGCAAAACTCGCCCATCATTGAAAACGAAAGATATTCCAGATGGAAAGAAATTTGAAATTCGTGATACCATTTATCGAATGAGGGCAAACAAGGAACATATGACCTTAAATACAATTCTCTCGGAATTATTAGATAGAAAATTTGACGACATTGGCAGAACAAGTGTATGGCAAATGATACATAACTTGGGTTTCAAATTTCAAAAGGAGGATAACAGAAAGGCCCTTTGTGAAAGAAGTTCTGTCGTGCACAAGAGAATTAACTTTCTAAGAAAATATTCTAAATTTAAAGAAGGGGCGAATTTTATATATTTAGACAAAACATGGATATTTTCTAGGGGTGTAACCAAGATGATAACGTAAAGTCCATCAAACATACCGATGGAAAAGGGAAACACATAATTTTACATGCAGGAGGGAAATCGGGTTTTATAGAAGGTGATGATTTAATATTTTCATCTAAATCAAAATCCAGTGACTATCACGATAATATGAATACAGAAATGTTTGTAAAATGGTTGCATGAAAAACTTCTCCCAGGTTTAAGTGAGCCCAGCGTAATTATTTTAGACAATGCACCTTACCATTCTGAAGTATTAAACAAAAGTCCAACGAATTCTTGGACTGTTGATAAAATTAAAGAATGGTTGACAAAGGAACATATACCATTTCCTCAATATACAGGGTGTCCCGAAATTAGACGGTCATATTTTAACAGCGTGATCTACATCCTAAAATAAGAATAAAAGTTCATATAAACATAGGTCCGAAAAGGTTTCGTTTTCGAGATACAGGGTGTAACAAGTGAAGTCCTGATGGCCTATTTTTGTAAATATTTTTTAAAATTTCTTTAGTCACTGGTTTTCCAAAGTAAAAAAAAATAAATTTCTGATTTCACAGGCCTACTAATTATTGTTTACACTTTCGAATAACTTATCTTGAAATTTTCAAATGCTTTTTTCTTGAAAATGGTGCGTCCTAGCGAGATGCAACAATAGTAACTTTATTATAAAGAAAACATTGGTTTTCCAAATTTTATAGTCAAAAATGGTAAAAACTGTCAACAAAAAAAACTTTTTACCTTAAGCCCCCCCTACTTTACCCACCTATGAAGATGATCAAAAACTGAGGTTTAGTCCATTAGATAGAGCGTAAAAAGGTTAGCATTTGTACCAAATTTTACTTAGTTATCTTTAAACGTTTAGAAAATATTTACAAAAGAGTGTCATCAGGACTTCACTTTTAACACCCTGTATCTCGGAAAAGAAACGTTTTCAGACCTATGTTTATATGAACTTTTACTCCTATTTTAGGATGTAGATTATGCTGTTAAAATATGACCGTCTAATTTCGGGACACCCTGTATATTAAAATCAGAATTATTATGCTTGGCAAATATACACGCAAAACCAAAAACCTTTGTCGTGGATCAGATTATTGAAAGTTACGGTCATCAAGTTTTACGTCTGCCACCGTATCATTGCCAGTTTCCCATCGAATATATATGGGGAATAGCAAAACAATATTATGACAACCATATTGCGCCTAATGGTTATAGTGACGACGCAGTTCGGGAGACTTGGCGAAAAGCACTTTCAATTGCAATTCCAGAAGTGTGGCGGAACTGTATATCCAAGTGCAAGAAACTAATAGAAGATTGGTGAAAATAAAATAAACGAAATAATAATAACAATTAATGGTGATCACAGTGATGATGATGACGATTATGATATTTTGGATGATAATGACTGATTTTTATTTTTGTTGGCAAGTTCAATTTTTTTATTTTTCATTTGAAAATTCTCTACAAGGAACAAATAACCCTCTTATTATACATAGACCATATTTTCTGTGTGAAGTGTAATATAAAATTATTATTAGGTTTATAATAGCCACATTAGACTCCATTAACGAAGAAGTTTAATTCTGCTCTCAATTATACAAAAGATTCTCCATTACCTATTATTTAATTAAAAAGTTGTACATTATTTTTCATTTCATTTAACCAGTTGATATTTCCCCAAAGAACAGGTCAAACTTTCGGGTACTTACCTGGAAATACTCATAAAAATTTTAATCCGAAACCCGCGTAAGTATAGCAAACAGACTGTAGTAATTTTTGTATGTAGATATCTAGGTACTGCCTGTTCCCTCACCCGCTAAAAAAGGTAGGTTACTAACAAATGAAGGGTCCAGAGGAAAAGCATGATAATGGTAATTAACAGCTTATTTCCCTGTAGAGTGTATGCATTTTGTAGGGACTAGTTAGACCTACTATTGTGAAACCCGACGTGAAACCCTAAAATTAAGAAATTGGCGCTCACGTTTTTCCTCTGGACCCTTCAAATGAAAATCATGCAGCAGGTACTTACTGCTCGATTTTATTGTTACTGTTAAATATGTTAGTGGCATTGTTTTGGTTAGATTAAATTAGATTTCAATAGGACTGTGGCCCACCCTGACCTGTTTAGATCTATTGTGGATATCATTTATTCATTGTTTAGATTATCTTGTCAAATTTGGACTTATAATAGACTCCATAGACAAGGAAGTAATTATCAGGCGTAGCTAGTTGCCCTTGGTTTTTCTCCATGTGTAAGGAATCTCAGTCTTTATAGACTTTCGCATCAACACGATACGTGTTTCCTCCTCTTACTGACAGAATCAGCGATAAATTTTGGCCGTTTAAAAGCTCTTTGGCCTGTCTCTGTACCGGTGAATTTTTTCACCATTCCTGAGATTTTTTAAACATTCACTGCTTTGTGCATTTTCTGATAGCCGTTATTGTGACACTACAGAAGGATTCAGGGGCCAATAAGAGCCCCTGAGGCTCCTTCTCGGGTTCGTGAATCGGCCTCCTCATTGCCCTCTTGTGAGGCCTGCTATCCAGGCTAAAGTTAGCCTGTTTTGACTACCCAGGTCTGTTAGGGCTTCCAAACAGTCCCACACAAGTTTTTAATGTATTGGCATGAAACTGGGTGCATTTTGCATTTAAGGTCGCTTGACTGTCTGAGTACCTATATGACAATGGTTTTTCCATTTACCTTATGTCTTGATGCTATTTTTGACTGGGATTGTTTTGGGGTTACTGCTGAACTGTGCTGAACTACTAATTTGTCTTTTAGGCAATTAGAGACGTCAATTTGGTTACGTACGATACGAATAAGTATTATTGAACTTTATATATAATTTACTTATTTACATAGGCTTGGGCATAGTACACTTCCTTGTCATACCACAGAAAAATGAGATGTAGAAAGTAATGTATGTATATCTGCTCATTCTACCTTATTAGGAAATGAAAGTTTATGGCAGATTTATATCAAAATTAGGGTTAGGTTTGTACCTTTATGTAACAATATACTTACCTACCATACCTATGTAACACAATTTTTTACCTTTTCTAATACATATACATTGCTTACACCGGTATAACCTAGATCAATATTTACACGAAAAACCTCTAAGGGTAAATAAAATTAGATTAGATAAGATTATTTGTATATAAGTAGTAAAACCACAAAAAAGGATTTAAGAAATTTCTACGGACAGGAGACAAACGAAACAAAATAATAATTCAAACAAGGACATATTTTTGTAGTTAAAATATCTATTGTTCGAAATAAGTATAATTGATCACGGTCAGATTGCGCCAATAACCTAGGTACATTTAGTGTGAAACAAAAAAAAGCTAGGCACTTTTATTTAAATCGAAATTTAGATCTAAAAATACCTGTTACCCCGTCATGAATAAAGATTTTTCCAAAATAATTAATGGGGTAATCGATAGTTACTCTCAAAATAAAAGGATCAATATTTTAGTAACCAGAGATTATACATTTTATATCACCCAACTTCATTCATCCTGCAATTGAACTGTTTAATAAAAACAGCTGACTACATGTACTAAAACATGAAAAAAGCATTGCAGGTATTGATTTTACCGAACTGACCAACATTTATAAAAACAAACCTGTCTGAGTATAAAAAAATATAAATTTATCCAAAACACTTACTTAATAAATAATCAGCACTTGGGGGAACTGAAACACAACCAGATCACACACTTAAATCAACTGTCACAATGGTTTATTTACTAAATTTAAAATGTCACTCGAATAATTAATAAAAGGTCAAAATTTTCGTCTGGTACCCAACAACTGTCAACAACCTTCCTCCACTAACACATTTTATCAACTGACACGAAAATCGAAAACGAAAACAAACACCGACATTGATTTTAATAATACCAAGAATCGATTTCAAAAATTCAAAACAGCTTATCGATGTCGCAAAGTATTTTTATAATTGGTCCAAATAGAAATAATTATATGTCCAACACTAGTATTTATTTTAAAATGATGTAGGTAAATTAAATGGAATTAGAATTTATATTATATTATTCTTATAATTTATCTAACAATCGATTCATTTATTCGATTATTCAGTGAATTGTTTAATGAGCAACTGGTGAAAGAATTAAAAATCGAAATCGTTTACCCAACCGGTCGTGTAAGCAAGACGCGACTCTTAGGCAACCTAAAATACCTACGTGTGTAGTGCTGGTTGTCGCGACTATTTGAAGATTTTTAAACATTAACTAGTAGATATACAACACATAAAACGCTTCGTTTTGATTTTTATAAAGAAGGAAATTGTAAGAATGCTCCAACATTAAATAAATAATAAAATTCTTATAGTAGAAACATATCTATATTATAGAAAATAGGTACATCATTTACAATTTTTTTATAATTTAGTTCGTTAATAATATTTATTATATCAGTTTATTTTATATATTTTTCCATTCGCTGGATTAATCTGCTGCCAGCCAAATATCTGAAGTACAGTCTCCTCCAGGATATCTTAAAGAAAAATAATAATTTAATGTACTTATTCAGTCAAATAATTGTTTTTTTTTCCTAACCTCATCTCATGAGCGAGCAGTGGTCCATCTGGACCCACTCCAAAATCAATCAAGAAATTCTCATCAAACTTCATGCCTCCATTTTCAGTATCAATGTCGATCTTCAACATCTTGGTACCATTTTGAGCCAACTCCGGATAGAATTGTTTGTCCCAAGGTGATAAAACACTCGACGTCGCGTATAATCTCTTCCCGTCCTGAGAAAGTTGGATCATTTGAGGACCTCCGAAGAAGCGTTTACCCTTAATAACGACTGGGTTGGGCTGGGATTTAAGTTCAATGTCTTCTAGTACCTTGTGAGTTGAGTCTGAAAGTATTTTGCCGCCAAGGAATAACTGTCCTGAAAAAAGAAAAATATTTTTTTTTTATCTGAGTAATTTAAATTTTAGTTTTTTTAGTATAGATGGCTGTCACCGCGCATACCTATTTAAATGTTTTGCAAATTAAAAACAGGTTTCAAAAATTTAGTAAACTCCCGGACACCACATATGTCTATTGGACGTCCATTCGATATACATTTAAGGATGTCTGGACGTCCAAAAAATGAGTTTTTTCTGGACTTCCAGTGGACTAAACAATTATGGCCAGACTTTTGACCATTTAAAGCACGGCTCTTTTTGGATTATATTCGAATATTTCTCATCCACGCACATCAACTACTAAAGTTATTGGTCTCGTATTTTGCGTAGGTTTTATTTCTGTTTCTCCGCGCCACTTTAGGAACAGCACTGTAAATTAGAACCAAACAGTGAATGGTCGTGTGGGAAATCCTACCTATGCATTAGAATTAATATTTAATTTATTAAATCAATTAAAAATCCCTGCCAACGGTAGGATTCGAACCTGTGATCCTTCGATTTCAATATCATGACTCTAACCACTGAGCCAACCCACCCACCCACTCATAAACCTCATTATTTAATATTAAATAAAAATCTTGCATGTATTCTAATGAATTGCTGCCATGACATGAATTTGAATTGGCCATCCAACTCTCTCCAATTCGAGTTTTAAATCTTAAATCAATTAGGGATGACACTTATGACTTATCCATTTTTACTGGCACAATAAACAAGCTACCCGGTTACACAAAATTCTTCAACGACAGATCTGTGGGACCTTCTAATGATTCAGGCTTCGGAGTATTTTCTCCAGACCTCAATTACGTGTTTTCAAGCACACTACATCAACATACACAAATATGTTCTGCAGAAATTATTGCAAATCATTTTAGAAAAAATATCTTGAATTCAGTTATCTTCTCGGGCTCCAAATCTGCTTTACAAAAAATTGGAAATGAAATTCTGTACAGAAACTAATCATTGCTCCTTTCTAACAAAACAATGTATCTTACTTGCTAATATGAATAAAGCCGATCAATTAGCAAATATAGGAAGAATCCTTAAAATTCCTGTAAGTATTAAACTTAATGAGTCTAACTTTTTACCCTTCGTCAAACAAGAAATTTGGAACAAATGGCTTCAACAATGGAATTCACTAAAAGAAAAGAAAACACCTTTTTACTTCCAAGTGGTCCCTGAAATACTACGTGTAACAATGCAATGAAAGAAGGTAGCTTTCAAGAATCATACGGATGAGAACTGGCCATTGTCTAACCCCATATCACCTATCTTGAATTTGAATTGAAGATGACCCATATTGCGAGTGTGGAGAAGTTGGATCGTTAAATCACATCATCTTAGAGTGCCCCATTAATAAATCTCCCCTTTTTGATCTGTATTTGGAACTAAAGAAGGCTGGTTTATCAGCCCCATTTGATATTATCTACATCTTGTCTCATTTGGATGATAGAAGAATAACTACCCTTTCCAAAGTTTTAAATTTATTTAAAGTCAATATCTAGTAGAAGCAAATCAACTTTATTTGGCAGTAACATAGCTCAAAAAAAGAAAAGAGAAGAAGACCTGCGGGAATCGAACTCATATCACGTCATGTCACCTCACCAGTAAACGTTTGGTGTCTTTAGCTGCCCTACCTGCTCGACCAAGGAGACATTTAATTTCAAACTTCTACCGGTGGAATAAAATGCAATAGATTCAAATTTTCACTTTTTAATGACCAATTATATTAAAAAAAAAAAGGAAAACTGTATAAGTATTATCTGATAAGCTAAATAAACAGATACCTAATAAGGACGCCCCTGAAAAATACTACTAAACATGTACTTAAACTTTAAGTTTATTAGAGAAAACTTTTTAGACTTAATAACAACACCGCGCACGCAGCCAGTTTCTTTTCATGCGGTATCTCGAGAAAAAAACAGTATTCCTTTTTCCCTGAATTACTTTCAGTTTTGAATCAAAAAAATAAAGATACTGCTCCCGGTCCTGATTCCATTATATATTCTCAAATTAAATACCTTCCAATACCTATTCTTGATAGGTTGGTTAATGTTTTTAATAAGTTTTTATCCGGAACATCCCTTCCTCAGGAATGGTCCTCTCAGATAATTTGTCCCATTCCAAAGCCAGGTAGAGACTCAAATAATACGGCTAATTATCGCTTTATAGCTTTATCTTCATGTTATGCAAAAATTCTAGAAACAGTAATTAAAAATAGAATAGAGCATTTTTTAGAATCAAATAAATTTTTTAATTCACTACAAACCGGTTTTAGAAAAGGAAAAGGAATTATGGAAAATTTGATTTTTCTACAAAATAAAATTTATAATTCTTTTAGTAAAAATGAGTCTGTTGTAGCTGTTTTTCTAGATATAACCGGAGCTTACGACAATGTCGATATTGGAATTCTTTTGCAAAAATTGGTAACACTAAATCTCCCCCAAGACATTATTGGCATTATTAAACAATTTTACATCTCTAGGAAAGTGGTTATTCGAGACAGGGCAAGCGATAGACTGTCTGCATCTGATTTTGTTAACAATAAAGGTCTTCCACTCTGTTGTTTAATATTTACATCAATGATATACATTCTGTGACTGCCGATGGAGTAAATTTATGTGGTTATGCTGATGATATAACATTGCTGAGTCAGGCAAGAATTTGGTTAATATGATCCGTCTTTAAATGGGTCTTTGCGGAATCTTTATGATTGGATGCAATTACATGGCATGTCAATTTCTTTAAAAAAGTCGAAATACATTATTTTTCAAAAACGCAAAACTTCGCGAACTTTCCTGGATATACTGTATGATTTACAAGTAATTCCTAAATGTAATGTTAAATATTTAGGAATTACTCTTGATTCTAAATTAAAATTTACTGATCACATTGATTCCATGGATCCATTTTGGCAGAATGTTGTAAACTTCCTTTAAGATGGCGCCGCATTGATCTAGCTTGTAAATATGTTTTGAAGAATCTAGCTTTAGATAATAATCCAATTGGATAAGAATTGATAGAACCATATTCAACTTTTAATTTTCAAAATTTAGAAGAACAAAGTGATTTTCCCTTACTTGAAGCCCTAGACCGATGTCTACCCTATATTTCTCAAATAGAAAAAAATCAAAATTGTCCATGTTTTGACTTCAATTTTGTTTAACAATTTATGGATATCAACATTGTGAGTTTAGGTTTAAAGAAAGACTGTTTAGATACTCTAAAAATTTTACCATTGCAATAAACACGTTATTTCCTAATTATACTTTAGTATATACAGACGGATCTGTAGACCTATCCTCTTATAAGCTATGGAGTTCATATTCCCGATTTAAACTATAATATTAAATCAAGTTTGGCAGATGGAACTAATATTTGCACTGCAGAAATCAAAGCTGTGGAAATGGCTGTAATGCAAATCAATAAATGTGATTGCAAAAATGTGCTCATATGTATGGACTCTTCTAGTGCTATTCAGAGAATACAAAGATAATAGGTATACTATCCTGTTCAGATAGCTGCAGTTTAAATGTTAAAAGTCAGATTTACGATGCAAAACTTAAGAATATAAAAATTACTTTTGCGTGGATACCTAGTCATACGAATATAAAGGGAAATGTCATAGCTAATAAACTTGCTAAATTAGGACCAAAGAGGTTAGTAGGACTCAACGAACATTATTCTGACGTAATGACAATGGATTATAAAAATATGCTACCTAGAGTTAAAAATAAAATTTGGGATGATTGGAGTGAAGAATGGCGAGAACTGAGTCAAACTAAGGGAAAGCAACTTTTTAATATATTAGACAAACTGTCTCGAAAACCCTGGTTTTTTAATATTAAATTAACAAAGGGACAAATCGGTAACATGTGCAGAATGAGAATTGGTCATTGCTATAGTTCTGCTCATCTGTTTCGAATTGGTATCCTTGACTCCCCAAGTTGCAGCTGAGGTGAAATTGGAAGATTAGGTCATATCTTGATGGAATGCAGTAATATTACAGACAATATAAGATTCTTATACCAAAAAATGGTTTCAGCTTTTCGACCCCAGTATTCCCCTTTATGTTTAAATGATTATTTACGAAAACCAATTTGCAGTACAGCCATAATCATGTCATTTTTAAAATCTTCTAACATTAATTTATAAAAAATATTGTTCATCTTTTTTTTTTAATTTTACAGAGCCAAATAGTGTTTTACATTTAATATTTATTTACATCTAACTCATGTTAGTGCTGGTTAAATAACTTGTATGAGTCGAGACCAATAAATAAAAAAAAACAAAGTTATGTCCAAAAACGGACGTACACTGATTACCGACATGCAGCTGTCAAATTAATGTTAATAAATGGGTGTTAACTTGTAATAGATCTAAAATGGACGTTTATTGGAGTATATGTATGCTATCTTGTTGTATAAGATACTACTTATAGTAAGAAATAAACTCTATCGCCTTGTCGGCAGAGATGCGTTAAAGTACTCATGAGTAGTTTACAATGGGTAGCTTTACAAAGTACATAAAAGTATCCGAGTATTAGTACTTATATGAATAATACTCAAAGCAAATGAGTAACCATAATTCTAGTTAGTGACTCAAATTTAGAAAGACAGAATTATAGTAATTAGTAATATTAAGTCTAAGTAACAAACAAAAACGAGAGTATCACTTATCTTCTATCAATTAATTACCATTAACGTGTGCGCCCTATTTTTTAATTTGACATATATTTTTATATGTTTTCCGCACTGATCTGTAAGTGGTTTTCCGTCATGTATCGTTGGCGTCGATAAGTTTTTCGGAATTGCCTCATTGTTGTGATGTCAATGGTAGTGGGATTTTGAAAATTAGTTGACTTAACTGATATATTTTGGGAAGATTGTCCGAGTGTTTTAGAATTAATTGTCAGAATATTAAATTGAAGTTAAGGTAATTAGATGTTAAAGTTGAAGATTTTATGTCAAAGAGATGAAATAACAAAAGAAAAGATGAAAACAGTTTTATTTAAATTGAAGATAAGTGTAAATCAAACAGCAGACGCAGAAGGAAGAGTAAGAGGAGAAAGTAGAGGAAAATAGCAAGAGGATACCAGGCAGGAGAATAGAAGGTATAAAAAGTTAGAGTTAGAACAGAAAGCAGAAAAATCGGAAGCACGAAGAAAGAAGCAAAACAGAAGTTTACTTATTATTTTTTCAAATTCAAAATGTATCGATAAGTATTATTTTTAGTTATTTTTTTGAAATATTTGTAGAAAGCCAACGAAGCCACAATCCTAAAATCTCTAGAATATTGGAATAGTTTAACCCTTCCGGGTTAGAACCATTAAAATATCTATATATGCGCGAGTCGGTACTCGTACTCATTACTCCTCAGCTGTAGGAATCAGAAGTACTGAATACTTTAATTAAAGTACTTTCGAGTACCAATTACTGAATACCGTGAGTACTCGAGTACAATTTTGAGTAGAATTTACTCGAGTACTGCCCAGCTCTGCTTGTTGGTTACACAAAAGGTGATAAATATATTACTTTATATTTTCTTTTTTTTTTTCGATCTTAATTCATGATTTTATTTTCCTAATTACCTGTTAGTCTTGGATGAGCCCTGTCCGTAATATCATACTGTCTAACATCTCCATGCAACCAGTTGCTGAAATATAAATATTTATCGTCCAAAGATATTAATATATCGGTGATCATTCCTGAAAAATAAAATAAATAAGATAAATTTAACAGATTTGTTTTTTAGAAAATATAACTGTATTACCTTGTAAATAATCTCCGTCCCATCCTGTAATTTTCTTGGCAGGTACGTCAATGACTTTGTCTGCCGCCCATTTGCCATCGGGTTTCAGATAGAATCTAAAAACAATGTAAGAAATAAAAATAGCTATTTTTGCCAGCGGTTACGAATTTTGACATATAAAGTGACATATTTTATAATCGCAGCAAGTGTCAAAACGATCTACTTTATACAACCAGTTGCATAAAGTAAAACATTAGCAACTAATTACGAAAAGTTGATTATGTCACCAGTTACAAAATGAAAATAAATTAAAATCGAAAAATTGAAAAATCGAGAAGTCGAGAAATCGAGACATCGAGAAATCGATAAATCGAGAAATCGAAAAAGCGAAAAATCGAAAATTCTAAAAAAGGCAATGAATAGTGATATTTTACATTATGTTTAACAACGAAAAAGAAAACAAATAATAAAAGCTATAAACTGCGTTTTATTTTTTAAATAATTGAAAACTGCCCACAAATGTTGAGGGTAAAATTTTGACGTACTCTTTAAGGATAACGGGTAAAAATGATTTTTTTCCATTTTTCCGCGGGTAATGTCAAAAATCAGATTGACAACACTGCGCATGTTCCTTATTTTTATTATTACTTGAAAAAAAAAAACGTCGTACGTAGGGCAATCAAATACAACAATTTTCTGAAATGTTTGATTAAAAGTACCTACAAAAGAATGATGGTGAATCATTTTTAAAACAAACACAATTTTATAAATAATTAGAATAAAAATTGTATGTAACACGTTACGAAATGCCTTTTTGTGTAACTCGTTCATGTTGCTGGACCTCGCTCTGTTCGATTTGCAAATATTCACTCGTTACATAAACTAATTAATTAAATTAAAAATGCTGAGTGCGTGGTCGTCTGGTTTTTCTAAACTCAATGACATTAAAAATAATTTAAAGCCACGGTCAACTAGACAAAATTGTATCAACCAGTATTCGTTTTGAGTCATAATAACGATCAGTTATTTATTTTGAACAAAATCAAACCAAAATATAGCCATTGCGACATCAAACTGACTGTAAAAAATATACTTTTATACTGTCCTTTTCTTGCACCTCAATCTATTGGACCAAATCTTCCAATAGCTTGTCCAATAGTTAATATACTAGTCTTTGCTTGTAATACAAAAAATCTAAAATCTATATATATTTACTAAATTCTATATAGCTTCTCTTTTGTATGTATTCAACCAATTTGCAACTAATTATTCGCTAATAAACTTTGTGGGATCTTTTCTTTCAATAAAGAAAAACGTTCTAGTGAATTTTCTTGGAGTCAAAGTATTTTCTTCTTACCAGTAGTTGTTTCTGGATGATGTTTTATATTTTGTAAAAAACTTATCCAAAGAGAAAATGTTTCTTACCTGTATACATTGGCGTTAACAGCACAACCAACATAACCCTGAGGTTCCTTAGGATTATGCAGAAATCTCACTTCCAGTGGAGCAATTCCTTCCTCGCCCAAATTAATTGTTTGAATGAGTTCCTGCTTTGACCAGGAGAAGAAATTCAGGCTACGTCCGTAAATTTCTGGGTCTGCCGCATGAGATGGATGGAAACCGTGTTTGAACAACCTTGGCACTCCCCATTCAGTGGATACCATTACATCAAAATAGGGTTGGTACCAGAAATCGTAGCTGTATTTTGGTACCTTGTTACCCTTGACCCATGTTCCTGATAAATAAAGATTTTGGAGGAACTTTATAGAAGTATTCATAAAAAAGAGGTCATCCAAAATATCTATGATCATTTATCATGATCATGATCATCGTAGTTGATCAATAATTTTTGGAGGAGAAATAGAATATGGGTTTCAAAATCTTTTAAAAATGTAGAAAAATCTTACGATTCTAGTTTGAATTCAACCAGCAGATGTTGAGTAAGCTTTGACTTTATAATATAAAGGGATGTTTCATTCAAGCTCACCTTTGATTTTCATAGTCTTTCCATCTACAAGAATAAACTCACATTTTGCATTTTCATCCTTGTCTCCCATTGTAGAAATCATAATATCCCCAGTAGATAGACAATGAGGTGTGTGAGGTGTCCTACAGTTAAAATTGAGCATTTGTGAAGCATCAATGACCTACAAATATGATAATTAATAAATGTGTCCATACATTAAGGATCATTTAGATCATGTCAAAATCGTATGTAAGAAATTTACCTTATGAAATTCGGGAGCTCTTGGATTCTTTCCAACATCAACAACATAGATTCTGTCAGAACCCAGTGCTGGTAAAATCAGTTTGTCCCTAGCAGGAGCATTTTTGCATCCTGTAGATGAATGACAGCTTGAGCAAACGTTCCATCCAGCGTGGTGAAGCTCATCATTTTTGTTACCAGTTCTTAAACGATGGATAATCTAATAAAACAAGTAAATTTCCAAAAAAATATATTAAGAAAGGATCTTGAGGAAGAATTACAAAATGCTATTTATAAATCAAAACCAAAACTAATTTCGCCTTATTTGGAGCGGAAAAGAAACGTTTTCGGACCTATGTTTATGTAAACTTTTACTTCTATTTTAGGATGTAGATTATGCTGTTAAAATATGACCGTCTAATTTCGGGACACCCTGTATATTTATAAAATCACAATCAACAAAGAGGTTTAAATCATTTATATACAATATAAATAAAAGAGGCGCCATAACGCTACCTTGGGGTACACCAATGTTAATATCCTTTTCAGCAGATATATTATTATTACTCTTTGTTTTCTTCCAAATAAGTAATTAGTAAACCAATTCAAAACACAACCATTAATGCCATATCCAGTAAGTTTCTTTAAGATAATATTGCGATCTATTGTTTCAAATGCCCCCTTTAAGTCTAGAAAAACTGCTACTACATAGTTATTATTGTCTACCTTCGTTTTAAATTTACATAAGGAGAGTTGCAGAGCTGCTTCAAAAGAGTGTTTTTTGCGGAATCCAGATTGGTTAATAAATAAAATATAATTGTGTTCAATATGTTGAAGAGTTTGTTCATATACAACTGATTCAAGCACTTTTTCTATAGGTGACAAGGTATTTATAGGTCGGAATTCCGAAGCATTTATTGTATTACTTACTTTAGGAATTGGAACTATTGTACTTATTTTTAATGAATCTGGTACTGTTGCAGTCTGAACATTTTGGAATTAAGGATTTCATAAATAGTACATTTATTGTCCAACGACTTAACAATTACTCTTAATTCACTCAATGACAACAACCGAAAATTTGAAAATTGATGATACCTATACAGGGTGTTATTGAAATACACGTACATATTAAAATGGGAATAGTATGTAATGACCAAAAACGATTGGCACCAATTTTAACTTCAAATTCTAAAATTTAAATATTGGGGAAGAGTCCCCTTTTCCGACCTACTAGTTTCCATATTTAAAGAAGTAAAATAAATCGAAATTGAACTTACCCATAGAAATTGCACTGTTGCCGTAGCAAAACCAATTAATTCAAAATAAAGTTTATTACAGTAATTGTTCAAAATGCCGTCCATTATTATTTACACACACTTGCAATCGTCTTTCCAAAGAACTTTGAACATTATAAATTAGTCTTGGATTTTGTCGTAGTTCCTCGGCTACCGCATTAACTTTATTGGTTAATTGTTCAACACTATTAATAGGTTCATTATAAACCAGTTGTTTCATGTGACCCCACAAAAAGAAATCGCATGGATTTAAGTCCGGAGATCTCGGAGGCCACTTAGTAGGTCCATTTCTGCCTATCCACTTTTGAGGAAATCTAATGTTCAAAAACTGCCGTACGTTTAAATCAAAGTGAGGAGGAGCGCCATCTAGTAGGTACCACATCCGTTGCCTTAATTGTAACGGTATCTCTTCTAGGAGTACTGGCAAAATATCTTCTAAAAAGTGGAGATATCCTGGCCCATTTAATCTGTTCGGGAGAACATAAGGCCCGATTAAATACTGATCTATTATGCCAGCCCAAACATTTATTGAAAATTTTCTTTGATGCCCAGTTTCCCTAATGGCGTGAGGATTTTTATCACTCCAAATATGCGTATTGTGCATATTGAACACGCCATCACGAGTGAATGAAGCCTCGTCAGTATACAATAATATTTTTAGAAAATCAGGAATATCAACACATTTTTGAATCATCCATTCACAAAACTCCACTCTCTTTTCTTCATCACCTGGATATAAGGCCTGGACTTTTTGGATGTGATAAGGATGTAAACCTTGTTCTTTAAGTGTCTGCCACACAACAAATGAGGACACTCCAATTTCAAGACCTAGTCTTCTACAACTTAATTGGGGCCGGTTTTCAACAGCTTCCAATATTTCTTCTTCGGCCGCCAATGTTCTTTGTGTTCTTGTTCTCCCTCGATCTGCATTGACACTCTCAAATTTTCCATGGTCTCTTAGATGCTGAACAGTTGAAATAAACGTACGACAGTCCGGAATTCTCCGATTTGGAAACCGTTCGCGATACAGGATTTGTGCTTGCCGAGAATTTTCTCCAGCTGCCCCATAAACCAGCACTATATCCGTTAGTTCAATATTCGTAAATAGTGGCATCGTAAAAAAATATTTAAAAGTAATCGTAACAACACTTTTTACCAACTTGGAAATGACGCGCTCGTGTTAGCCAGATTCGTAAATCAACTAAAATTTTAATAATCTATAGTTTCAAAAATGTATAGTTTAAAAACAATCATTTATCAAATATTCTAGTTTTTTGATAACGAGGGTAGTAAAAACCAGTCTTCGGAAATAGAAATTAATTCGAAAATCTTGGCAACATGGTTATTTCTTACAAGACTAGTTTTCTTATCATCTGACAAAAACTTGCATATTAATTACTGTTGATGTTTAAAATAGGTAAATAAACCTAATTTATATAGGTCATCCTCAACATATCAGTGAAGTACGTTTGTTTTAGAATTAATTTTCAAAAATTAATAACTCCCTTAATAAGGGGTATTTTTAAAAAATACTATTTTTCTACATTCAGTGGGGATCTGCGCAATACCCAGTTTTAATATGTACGTGTATTTCAATAACACCCTGTATATTATAGTTACAGAAATTTCCTGTTATTTCAGTAGAGATGCTATCAACTATTTGAGTAATGCTACCTATAAAAAAATATATTAAATTTACTTGCAATTTCAGTAACATTATGTTCGATTTGGCGTTCATTGTTTAAATTAAATTCAATAAAATTTGGAAAATTGTGACTGTTATTATTAATTAACATTAACTTTTTGAGAGTCTTCCACATTAGTCGAGAATTATTTTTATATCTATCAATTTTATTAAAATAATATTGTTCTTTTTTTTATTTTTAGTAAATTTACAACTTCATTCCTCAATTTTTTAAATGCTCCCCATTTTTCATTTTTTACCAGCACCAGAAGTGGTCTGAAATTCTTTATACATTTTATCCCTATTCTTTATTTTATAATGAATGTCATTATCAAACCATGGAACATTACTTTTATACTGGTTATTACCGTTTGACAGTTCTTATAAAGTTCATCGTATATAGTATTTACATCAGTAGAATTTAAGTTCCAATTACATGAAATTAAGTCAAGTTTAATTTTATCTAAGTAAGTTTTACTAAAGTTTCTATACATTTTAGTGGTTATATTTATATCAATGTTGTTATTACTAAGATTAACAGATATTATAGAATGGTCACTAATTTTCGGAAAATAATGAACTGTAGCATTAACAAAATTATTATTAACTAATACATAATCTATCAAAGTTTTACTATTATTTGTAATTCGTGTAGTCAGTGATTAATTGGTCAATTCCATATTGTAAAAACATTGCTTTAATTTTATTACTATAAACACAGTCATTTGTATAATCAAAGATAAAATCGCCAATTAACAAACAGCGTTGTTTATTAGCAAAAATAGAATCACATATATTTTCCAAACTGTCCAAAAATACAGCATCAGAACTTGATAGTGAATGGTAGAGACAACCCATTAACCAATGATCACCACTAAGATCAATTTTTATTACTTTACACCAATAATTTGGCTCAAGCACAAAGGTCTTAGCAACAGAAAATTTTAAATTATCCTTCACGTAAATAATGACCCCCCCCCTGTGCTTCGGTTTGAGGAGTTACATCTGATCAGATTATACCCAGCGATTTTAATTTCAGATTCTTCAATTTCCTTGGTAATTCTTGCTTCACTTATAAACATATTGGCTTGAATGACCTGAATGGATAAGTATATTTTGGGGTCGAAAAATATTTTTGTTAAGGAAAATCGAGCCACTCGTGAATTTCCGTTTATTTTACTCAACATAAATATACTTCGAGGCTTGTATGCGAAAATGAGGCACCTAAATCTGTCAATAACTGACAGTCTTCAAAACATTAACTAGAGAAAAGGAGATAATTTTAGACACTATGAGTCATCCTCTTAGTAAACAATGTATATACTGTTATTACTTTTTGAGTTATTAAATATATTTTGAAAAGTTAGTAACAGAAAAAGCATTTACATACCTGACAATATGTTGGAGACTGTGGATCAATGTCAACAGTGGCCAAAAGGTCTGATTTATCATCACCATCATTGGGATTAATGCAAACTACGTACATTATTTTTTCCCTTGGTGCATTCTTCATGGCCTCTAGAGGGCTAGCGTACCCTGGTTCTAAAAAACACAAGATAATACATTATTGATTGTCTAAAATTAAAGTACAGGGTACTTTTATGGGATATATCTGTTATTTTTGAATATAGAGGGTGTATAGAAAATTAATAATGTATGTACGAAATAAATCAGAAATAATTAACAAATCTGTGAAAAACCTGTTAAAAGGTTCACAGAGGTGTATTGATGTTCACGGTGTTCATTTTGAAAATCTACTTTAGTTTTGATTAATTATTTGTTTCTGTTAGTTTGTTCTACTACTACTTTATCAAATAAAGTGTGCCAGGTCCTGTGTAGATGTTCAATTTCTTATTGGAAAGATAAATGAAGATAGTACCTAATTTGTGTAGAGTTTTAAAAATACAGAGTAAAATATTTACTGATTTATAATATTGTAGTCGCTATTATAAAAATTTACTGTAAGAAAATCAAGATGGTGCCATTAAATATTATTACACTATTTTATTTATTGATCCAGGAACTATTTAAATGTGCAGTAACATTTATTAAAATCCGATGTACAGGGTGATATTCTAGCTAAGAAGAGCAGTATAAAAAAAGAGAGTCCGGTCCTGAAATTTTTTAAAATTAAATTTTGGCTTTGATTAACCTAAGAGAGTGTAACTTTTATGTAAAATTTTATCAAAATATTTCTAGCCGTTCAAACAAAATGGCCGACTTTAGTTTTGGCAAAAAATCATAAAACACCCTATATCTCAGAAATAAGTGAGATTAAAGGCTAAGTATGGGAGTGTTTTGAACTCAACTAAGTGTACTCTACCTCCCATTAGGCTGTGTCTGTTTAAATCTGAAACACCCTGTATATTTTTTAAAAGGAAAAAATAAATTTTTTATAGTCTATAAATATATAGGATGTTCCATTTAAAAAAAACATAAGTTTGCTTTATAACTCTAAAATAGTAAATAGGTAACAAAAATTATCTGCACCACTGCATTCTACGGAAAGAAATCTATAAAAACGTTATTTTACATTTTCGATAAGTTGAAGGATAACGGAGATACGAGGGGGTTCCAAAATGTATATTTTTGAAAAGGTAGAAAGAAAAATTTTATGGTCTATAAATATACAGGGTGTTTCATTAAAAAAAAAAAAACATAAATCTGCTCTATAACTCAAAAATAGTCAATACGTAACAACAATTATCTACACCACTGCAATCTACGGAAAACATCTATAAAAACGTTATTTTACCTTTTCGATAAAATGAAGAATAACGGAGATACCAGGGGGTCCCATAATGCAACATTTTCAAAAATGCCCTGTATCTTAAAAACTAAAAGGGCTATGAAAATTTTGTTAACGGCATCTTTAGTTTTACGAAAAAGTAGCAAAGTGTCACAAAAACCGCAACCCTCTATCTTTAAAAATAACGGAGATACCCCGACATAACGATAAAGAATGGGGTATATTTTGTTTTCATTGACCAATATTCAGATTCGTCCAACAACTCTAGCTTTTAAAAGTGCAACAGAATGTTACTAAATCTCATGACAAAAATGCGTTTTGGGACCTTAGCGATTTCCCATATTAATTTACATAAGGTTTGAGCTAGAACCTTACTGGTTTTTCTGTAGGTACTTTCACTTTTACTCTATTCACATCTTCATTCAATTGTATTGAATATTTCTAGTAGGCAGCTCTATTCGGAAGCTTTATTATTGGACAGTTCTACTGGGAAGCTCTATTTGGAAACTCCATTGGTAAGCTCTAATGGGAACCTCTATTGGTAAGCTCTATTATACAGCTCTATTTGACAGTACCAGTGGCGTATCAACGCAACATCAGGCCTGTGTTGGAAAATTTAGCCGGGCCCCATATCAAATAATTGATTTAAACATTTTATATGTCCATTATCAAAAATGGTACTGTATTTAATTTTAGTAAAAAATCAGCCATTGTTTCACCAATAGGTATTCATTTTCTCGTTTAAAAAATACATTTTTATGCGATCACTATCCAAAGTAGGCTTTTGCGTTTCGAAATACAACCGCAAAGTTTTCCGCGAACTGACATTAAGTGACAGCTTTGTCGATTGCCGAGAGGAAAACTTGACAGCTTTGTAGCTCTCCTAATTTAAATTATATAATACAATAATATTTCTTTTTAATAAATGATTTTGAAGTTATTTGTACCTAGTTTTATATTTTTTCTTTTATTATCCACGTTAACATTGACTTTGAATATTAACTTTCTTTTCATGAATAACGTAGATATAGGCAACACATTATACACTACTTGTGACAATTTTTCAGTTTCTATCAGGGCTGGTATATCTAAGGGGGTCGCGCCACATACTTTGATTTTCTTTTACTATACGGAGAATGGTCGCACTGCGCAGCTTTCTGAGTGTCTTTTAAAAGGAGATAGAAAACTCCGCCATTTTGATCCCTTATTACGTATTACCTACATCTTAGCGCAATATTTTTAATATGTGCGTTTTAATCATCCGCTTCTGCTTCGGAATTGTCGATTTTCTTGTTTTAATCTGACAGGTTAAAACGACTAAACCGACAATTCTTGAAGCAGAAGCGGATTATTAAAACGCACCTGATATTTTGCTTGCTACTGTCAGTGTCAGTGAATATTAGGCATTCCAAACTGAATGGCTACCAGTGGGTTCTGACGGGTTATGATATGGCAAAATTATGGCAACCCTGTAGGCCTGGTGATTTGACGAGGTCAATGAAATAGATAGTTACATAGATTGATCATCCATATTTTTCAAAATAAATATAAGCTTATGCCTTGAAGTAAAAATGTAAGCAATTATTTTTTTTAAATATCTAAAAGCTAAAAATTGGTTTTAAAACACATTTTTGCTAAACCGATTCAAATTAATAAATATTTGCCAGGCAATATGGCCGCTCGTAAACGACCAGCTTTGAGCAATCTATATAACTGTATATGTATCATTGACCCTGTTAATGATAAGATGACAACAGTGTTGCCATATCTAAACTGTCATTACCCACTGGTAGCCATTTGGACAGGTAGTTGGAATGCCTAATTATTTTTGGAGTCACAGTTTATTGCCAAAGAATCAGTTAGCTCACTCGGACCAGTTGAAAGTTCCAAAATAACATCCACTCCAGGGATACAAATTCAGGATACGCAGAAGACTGCTGTTTTATTATAGACGGTTGTCATATATTGTATTATTCGAGTTGCGCAGTGTATAAACTGGAACATTGAGATCAAAAGTGCCGACGCAGAGTGAGCGATCTGATTCTTTAGCTATAAACTGTGTCATAGGGTTTAAAATGGCCGCGCCCTATGTTGGGCGTGTCGGACCTCTCTCTTGTCCCGTATAGTAATCAAAGTATGTGGTGTCAGTGAATATTAGGCATTCCAACGACCTGTCCAAATGGCTACCAGTGGGTAATGACAGTTTAGATATGGCAACCCTGTTGTCATGTTGTCATTAACAGGGTCAATGATACATATATAGTTATATAGATTGCTCAAAGCTGGTCGTTTACGAGCGGCCATATTGCCTGGCAAATATTTATTAATTTGAATCGGTTTAGCAAAAATATGTTTTAAAACCAATTTTTAGCCTTCAGATATTTAAAAAAAATAATTGCTTACATTTTTACTTCAAGGCATAAGCTTATGTTTATTTTGAAAAATATGGATGATCAATCTATGTAACTAACTATTTCATTGACCTTGTCAAATCACCAGGCCTACAGGGTTGCCATAATTTTGCCATATCATAACCCGTCAAAACCCACTGGTAGCCATTCAGTTTGGAATGCCTAATTATTTTTGGAGTCACAGTTTATTGCTAAGGAATCAGTTAGCTCACTCGGACTAGTTGAAAGTTCCAAAATAACATCCACTTCAGGGATACAAATTTAGAATACGCAGAAGGCTGCTGTTTTATTATAGGCGGTTGTCATATATTGTATTGTCCGAGTTGCGCCGTGTATAAACTGGAACATTGAGATCAAAAGTGCCGAAGCAAAGTGAGCGATCTGATTCTTTAGCTATAAACTGTGGCATAGGAATCAAAATGGCCGCGCCCTATGTTGGGCGTGTCGGACCTCTCTCTTGCATCGTATAGTAATCAAAGTATGTGGGTCGCGCTCATACGGATCGCGACGTAGACCCAGTTAATAGATGAGGGGGTGACTGGGGCTAGGGGGAAATAGTAGTCAGCTTAAGTTGGCAACACTTTTCTAATATTCGTTTGGCGAAATCCGTTATCGTTTGTCCTGCCGTAATAGTATTATAAAAACAGAGACAGATCTACTTTTAACGTGCATCGTGCATAATAATGTCAATATGGTACAAGTGGAATGAACCACTGTTTTCCTCGTAGTCCAATGTCGAATTAAAACTAAAAACATTTTGTACTTTTTTATATACCAAATATTATACAATGTTTCCACTTTATTTTAATGTTACATGAATAGGTACATGCGTTTGTGCTGTGGTAAATAAGTGTTCATGTGAAAATTATCTCTGAAACTGCATTGTGATTGCACTCATCTCAAAACTGAATGCAGTAAATCCAGGAATTAAATCTTTCATAGTGTTGCTTGGGATAAATTGTAAAAAAGGTGTTGGACAAAACGTTTACAACCTAAAATTGCATGGAAAACATCATAGAAGAAGGAATTTTACCTTTATGACAATCTCTTTCAACATTTTTAAGTGACTAAGTTTGTGGTTTGGTGAATGAACTGTTACCACAGTCAAAAAATTCAAATTAAAAAAGTGACTAATTTCTAATAAGAATACATAAGTTGAATATGAAAATGTAATTACTTGATTTAAATGTGATTTAATTAAGAGCTAAATGGATGTTTCATATAAACAAAGTGCTGTAAAATGTTAATAAATTCAAAGCCATTATTAAAGAGAAATTAGTTATCATCAATAAGATATTTTGTAGTAGCTGGTCTCTTTAAATAATAAACTTGAAAGACTGTGAATTAGTAGTCACTTTTACACTAGAAGTAAAAACAAAAAAAAATGTGTGGTTGAGACTAATTTATGTATTTAATAAAAACATATATTTAACCTGTTTTATTTAAATAAAAAACAGGTGTTATTTGAAATGTTTTATTTTAGTTTAATAATGTTTATAAATTGTGGGTACATTTAATCCGAATCTTGCTTAATACTATAAAATTCAGATGAATTTCCATATGGTTAGTATTGGAGTAGAAGCACAAAAGTTTTGATTAAAAATATAGGTACCTATTCTTTAAATACAATATTCACTAAATATGCTAATTTAGGTAATTTTCTATTCGAAGCCATACATGTTTCCTATTATAGTATTCATACGTTTATAATTCTGGAGATACTGAAATATTTTGCTTGATTACTAAACTTTGGCTGTTCTTGTTGTAGTCTGCTGTTAACACTATTGTCCTGAAATATTAAAAAAGCTGGACAATGGTTTGTCCAACTCTTTTGTCAGCTTTGTTAATCTATGCTACTGTTAGTCTGCATGCAGACATTTTTTACTGGAGATTTCTTCTAAGAACTGTATTCAGTTTCAAATTTCGGCCAGTTTTAGGAAAGTACCTCTTTTGTAAAGGTATTTCAAAGCCATCCTTTGTAAGATGTAGCCAACAAATACATGCTAAAATGTATAGAAAACAAATCGCAAGATATTACACAAAATTATTTAAATTAAATAAAAACATACAAATGAAGTGAATAATACCTACCAACAATTTAAAAAGACCTAAAATAAATAGACTTAGGGGACAGGATCCCTAAAAAAGGGAGCGATAATTTGTTATGCATCCTCATCTATAAGAAAATTGTCTTCAGCTCTTCAATTACCTTTTAAAATAAACCAAACCAAAACAGCACAAAATTGAAAGTAATCTACTTTTCACGACGTATTCTATGTACATGTGAGATTATTAGTAATTTATTAAATTGAAATAAAAAATATGGGCATTTTATAATGAAAATTACATTTAAAAAATACATTGATTTTTTTTCTTCTATTGGTAAGCCTGGCGACTACAGGTTGCCACGTTGCCAGATCAATGGGCGACTACTATTTCAAAAAAAAATGGCGTCCAAAATGAACTCCTATGTCGCGACCCCCTTAGATATACCAGCCCTGGTTTCTATATCTATTTCTTAAAATAATGTGATCGTAGAAAAATCTTGTGTGCATTTTGAGCGAAAAGTATCACTTTTCGCTCTTAATACACAAATAGCTATTTTATTTTATTGATTTTTTTATTTGTGGCCCCAGAACACTTTCTTTAGTTTTTTTAAGCGTGCAATTTAATCTTCTCCTTGAGCAAAGACGTTTATTAAATTATTCACAGAATCTCAGGATCCTCTGTAGATATGTTTACATAATTTAAAAATGAAAATTATTTGATTTCGTAGTTTGATTTTTTGCATTTTTATTGTTATCACTTTCTTAAAATCAAATAAGAAATAATGTCGCGTTATATAGCTTTAGTATCTATTTTAACTTACCGGTGTTAACCATATTGTTGATTGTTTAGTTGTTGCTCCTTCTGATTTGGAGGTCACGGACAAACTGACTAAGATTATGTTTAATTGTAAATATTTGTAAACATTTATAAATAATTAAAAGTTCATTTAATTATCTGTTTTGTTTGATTTGAAATTAATAAGCTGATGTTGTCTAAGGTGTTTCCATTTCACTCTTATAGTAACTGAGAGTTGGAATAATGTGGAATGGAATATTTCTACTTTCATATCTAGATATATAAATACGAAAGAAAGTGGTCTTACTTATACTTTTGTTTTATATACGAGGTGATGTCAAAAAAATGTTTAATTTCGTATGGTTTTAATGTTAGGAGGATGGATCTAATATTTTATTTTTTACTTACTTATAGGGCAACAAGGATTTCAATAGATAAAGTTATCATACGGAGTCCCTACTATTTTATAGGAACAGTATTAATATTTCTGAAACGATAACGTATCAGTAAGAAAGTTGATTAAATTACATAAAAGTTGCGCAGTTTTATGCTCAAATGGTGCCAAGAAACCATTGATATCTACAGGGAGATTCAAAATATCGGACTAAAAATGAAAATCGTCATTTCTCTAAATTCATTCATTTTTTGATCGATATTTTAAATTTCCCTGTAGATATCAAAGGTTTTCACTTACGAAATAACAATACTGTACCTATAAAATAGTAGGTGCCCTGTATAATAGTACAAGGGCTGTGATAAGTCAATGATATATGACCTAAGGAATCATGTTTTTTTAAATAATCTTATTTTTTAATACACTTTCTTCTTTCAATATGTTTTCATCGTTTTTGACTTTTTTTGACCCTTAAAATAGGCTTTGGTTTCAACGATGACCGGATTTTCTTTCTAAATTTCTCAACAATTTATACAGCTTTAAAAAATAAAAACTAAAATTAAAATTTTAATTCCCCTAAACCACATCAGGTTAGTTAAAATACTAAATATTATATTCAAAACATAAATAAAAAACTATAATGAAAAGGACATTTACGTAAGTCCATAGAACTCGGATAAATAGATTTTTCTTACTTAGAACTCGGAAAACAGAATATTCCGACTCAGAACTCGGAAAAATCGATTATTCCGACTTAAAACTCGGTAAAATCAATTTTTTTGAATTAGATACTCGGAAAAATTGATTATTCCCTCTCGGCTTCCATATCAAATTGCATCCAATACCATAAATCCTCGGGTAAGCGAACTCTACTTCCATCATGAGCCCATAAACAAAATCGAAACTTGTAACTAAACACAATTCGGTTCCATTCCTGATCTCAATGGACACCATCTTGACACCACTGCAATTTCACCCAATATGTTTTTGGGTCTATGACAAGATAAGGCGCGGTCGATTAGACTCCAAGCCAAAAGACCTGATCCTAAGATTATAGTCGTTGTCTTGTAGTACTTGGCCAAGCATGTGCCACTGACCTAGAGGTAGAAAATCGGTCTCATAAAGGTACCATTTCGGTAAGCGCGACAGGAGAGAGGAGACAACAGAGGCGACCGCAAGGACGACAGATGCAATAATGTTACGCTTCGCATATTTGGGAAGCAAGGAGACAGGTGACACGACACCTGCAGACAACCATTCGAGGGAACGATCAGCGTTGCCAGACCTACTGTTTTTAAGTAGATCCACTGTTTTTGTCTCTGTTCTCCTGTTTTAGGCATAAAATCTACTATTTTCACCTAATTTTTTGCCTCATTCTTCAACAAATGGTTAAAGAATATTTTCTCTAGTAAATTTTCTGAAGTAAAATCAGCGTAATAAGCATCCACTACTGTAGGTTGACTCTATAAAAAAAAACCTCAAGATAATCATAATGTTTTTATTTAAAATGCAATAAAGTATTAATAGGGCATCATAAAAAGAACATGCATGCCAAACACAACGTATTTGAGTTAACTGATTCAGACTGATCTAAAAGAAATACCTACTATTTTTCATTGATTTTTTTTTTGTTTCCGTACGTTAAGTATATATTAAAAATTTTATTATTTGTTTTTATTCTTTGTTTACTTTCTAATTTGGGTAGAAAAATGTTTATTTTTCGTTTCTTATGTACTTGTTTTTTTTTTATTTACTACACTGCAAATTCTAATTATTTCTCCCTGTATTTAAATCTACTGTTAGGATCTACGGTTTTTTTTTCACCCATACTATTTCAGCAAATGTTCATTTGGCAACACTGCCTAGATCGAAAGAATGCAACTACCATTTCTATAAAATATCGACTAGTGGCCTCCAAATACAAGCGATGACTAAAGGAGACAGACAGCAAACGATACTACGAGACCGACCTAGCTGTCGTCGAGATCTGTCTCTCGGAAGTGTTACGCCATGCGAATTGTGTTTCATATAATTGTATGTGTTTAGACGAGAAGAGACCATTCTCGGTAGCCTTTGTCCTCGCCTTTGCCGTCGCCTCTCTTGTCTCCTGTCGCGCCTATCGAAATGGTACCTTGAGGACATTTATTCTTAAAAGACGTTTTTCACGTTCTGGAGTTCTTCGGACAGCATCAGTACCTCTACGATATTTTTGCCGTTGCGTTGCGGTCCAGTCATTCCGATCTCGAAGTACCGTAGGTGCATTTCTACCAATGCTATTGCAAATTTCCTAATAAAACGACATTTTGTCTTCCCGCAGCCGTATAATCATATTAACCTAACCTGTTAGATGGATCCAAGCCGCACAGGTTAGGTAAATTAATTGAGTTTTATATAAAAAAATCTAATTTACCTAACCTGTGCGAAAGCAATGAGTAAAATTTAAAATGGTTCCAGGTTAAGTTAATTAGTTAGGTTTTTTATAAAAAAAAATAAATAATTTACCTACAATGTCCCATTGGGAGACAACTCGACTTTACTGAAATACATATTTTATGCCAATTAATCACAATGCTTTAATCTCAATGACGTTTAGCTCTAAAAATATTAATTCGTAAATTAATAGTATTGTAACGATAAAACTTATTAAATAAGGCAGTTATTGTTTGAAAATATCGAAAAATTTGCGATAAGTACCTATCTAATATGACGATAGCCGCTGAGTTCAGTGTCCCCGGTAATAGCGATTAGATGAACTTCTGAATGGTGTCGTTTTTTTTTTTAATTTTACTATTTTCGTTTGCAATATATTGTCCTTTCGATCTAATAAATTTTAGATCTATTGTCTTTTCGATGAAATATATCTGCCATCAAATGTTATTCGATAAAATATATTTTTTAACAAATGTCATTCGATAAAATGAATTTACCATCAAATTTCCAATTCGATCAAATGTTTTTCGATCAATGTTGTGCCACCCAAAAAAAATTGAGCATTGAAAATGATAGGACAGGTCACTGAAGATGGCTGCCGCAATTGCAGCTAAAACGTTTGGTGGTAATAACCAAGAAAGACATATCAGCCAGGAAACAAAAATTACATTTAAAAGAGAGTCAGAAGAAATTTCTAAAGCATTTACGATAAGATATTTGAGTAAAAGGTACTATCGTTACCTCAGAAATACTCTTTAAGTATCCTTAGCTGGAAATTTTAACTTTACAAAAGTGCCCTTGTTGTGTTTAATGCTTGTAAAAAACCATCTCATCTGCTTTTAAATGTAGGGTGAACAAAGCTGCAATTATTAATTTAATAATATTGAAATAAATGCATAATAATATTCTAAAATCTTACCATTCGCCTTTACATTTAGTCCCATTCATCTGATGATTTTTTTGTAAAAATTGTGTCTGCAAACAACAACTACACCTCGCTCTAGGCATTTTAAAATTTCAAAATATTTCAGGGTATTAACAAAATGTGCTTCCCCCTCGTGCCTAGTTACCGGATAAGGCTACCATTTTGTCTATGAACCGTGGCTTGTGGCAGATTTGCCTAAAATAGAATCTAGCTAAGCTTTCATTTCCGTGGGACTTTGTAAACCTTAATATAAAAATAAAAACATCTCGAATTTCGAATGTCTACATTATTCAAAAAATTTAGAACTGTTGTTCGGTGGTATAACGGGCTATCAAATGCAAACCACAGGGCAAACTTGTAATATTTCACAGAAAAACTAATGACAAAACAATAAAATGATCAAAATCAGAAATCACTATAAGTTAAGCTGGAAATTATTCTTCTCATCCTCGTAGCTGTCTATATCTAGAGACTTTTTGTAAAATAATTATTAACTCTTTAAAATTATGTTTGTCCTGCTTATTAAATCTTGTAATAAACTAAAATATCAACTAGTAGATATGCAACACATAAAACGTTTTTGCTTTGATTTTTATACAAGTTTATAAGGAGATAAACAATCGGTAAGAATGCTCCAGAGTTTAATAAATAATGAAATTCTTTCAATAAAAACGTATCTATATCATAGAAAATACATCATTTACAATCTTCTTATATTTTTTAAAGTTTCTTAACTTAACAATATTTAAGGGTTTTTTTTATGTATTGTTTCAACTGTTGCTTTAATCTGTAGCGAGCCAAATATCCGAAGTGCAGTCTCCTCCAGGATATCTGAAAGAAAAATAATAATTTATTTACTTATCCAGCGAACTAATTGATTTTTTCCTAACCTTGTCTCATGAGCGAGTAGTGGTCCATCTGGGCCCTCCGCGAAATCAATCAAGAAATTCTCATCTAACTTCATGCCCCCATTTTCCGTATCGATGTCTATCTTCACCATTCTGCTACCCTTTTTTTCCAAATCAGGGTAGAATTGTCTATCCCAAGCAGATAGGAGACTCGAAGTAACGTACAATCTCTTCCCGTCTTGAGAAAGTTGGATCATTTGAGGACCTCCGGTGACACGTTTACCCTTAATAAAGACAGGGTCGGGCTGTGATTTAAGTTCAGTGTCTTCTAGTACTTTATAAGCTGAATCTGATAGTACTTTACCTCCAACGAATACCTGTCCTGAAAAAAAGTGAAATGTTCTCTTTATCAACTAGGTAATTTAAATTTGACACGTTGGTTTATTTTAGTATCTTCAACAGCTTCCTGAAGTTACTTTAAAACAAAAACAAAATATGACTTTTTAAGGCAATGGGTTCGGCAAGATATATCTAGCTATGAAATATTGTTATAATTATGCTATTTCTTTGACAATTGTAGTAAAAAGTAAAGTTTTATATAAAAGTGTGTCGCGTCGTTTTATTTTAGTTATGATCTTTAACAGCTTCCTGAAGTTACTTTATAAAATTAACAAAATATGATTTTTTAAGGCAATGGTTGCGGCAAGATATGGAATTTTTTTGATTAGCATCAAAAAGTTTTTAGGCGCGTGTATCCTAATCGAAGAGCTCCACATGAAGAAACAATTCTATGATTAGCTAACGCATTATTACAAAATGGACGAGTAAGTGATGTAAACCATACTGGAAGCCCTCGTTCTGGCCATTCCAATGAAAATATTGATCTTGTTTGGGCTGTTCAGACAGAACCAAAAATTCTATAAGACGTGCGGTCCAATTAATGTTGTCTGAACGGACTTTAAGAAGAATTATGAACTTAAACTTACATATGTATTCATATAAAATTTAAACTGTGTTTAAACTAAAGCCAATTGATATTCAAAGACTTTGCAATACCCATATATCGTTACAAACTAGTGGAAGCAGAAGCAAATTGGTACCTTCCTAGTTGTTTTAACAAGCAAACTTATTTTTGGGGAACAAAAACCCTCACCATATTCAAGAGAACGTGTAGCCATTGTTTGGTGCTCAATATACTCCGAACGATTCATTGGACCCTTTTATTTTAAAATGACATGAGAAATGCAGTTACTGTTAATGGAAAACCGTATTGAAAAATGATACGAGAATTTTTGCAACCACAATTGGAAAAACCTAGCATAGAAAACTTCTGGTTTCAGAAGGATGGCCAGTGGCGTGTAGTGACATTTTTGATAAAACCACCTTCCCAAAGATAATACACTTACTAACCAACAGGAATGTTCCTCAAATGGTTAGTGGGTGGATATATAACATGCTCTCAAAGCAAGCTGTAAACATAAGTGTAGAAGATGTGAATATAAGAGGTTTGGTTGCGAGGGGATGTCCACAGGGAGGGGTGCTATCACCTCTACTGTGGAATATGGTCCTCGACACCCTCATCAGCCGCCTCAATAATGACAGTCACTACACAATAACATATGCAGATGACCTGGTCATTCTGCAAACAGGGAATTTTGAGAACAAACTCTGCGAAAGAATGCAAGTAGCTCTAAAAAATTATCGAACAATGATTCAAGGGCTATTCACTGTCTATTAATCCTAAGAAGATATAAATGGTCCTTTTCACAAGGAAAAGGATGAAAATGGAATTAAACCCTCCAGAACTCCTAAACACAAAACTAAACTTTGCAACAAAGGTGAAGTACCTAGGTCTCACCTTTAACAGCAAGTTAACATGGAACTCGCATTTAGAAAACAGAATTAAATAAAAGAGCGTACATTGCTTATGAACAATTCCGCCGAACCGTGGGGCGCACTTGGGGTTTCTCCCCCAGAGTCGACGCATGGACTTACACGATTATTATAAGACCCATACGGTGCAGTTGTTTGGGTACCGAAAACCCAGAAATTAACAGCTATCCGAAAACTAGAACAAATTCAAACATAACAAGGGCCATGAAAACAAAAAACAACACAGACCAGAGCCATGGAAGTCATTCTTAGTCTCACTCCCCTTGATATTAACATCAAGGAGGTTGCCCTGACGACAATGACATGCCTCCGCACGGTTGGAATAGAACCTGATGTAGGATCTGGTGAGGCGAGACGTCGCTTTTGGCAGGAGGCGCTCGATACGCTCCCACTGCTTCAAGCGAACATGGAAACCATCTCACCGAGATATATCTTCCATAAGCCATATAAAGTTATAGTAGAACAAATAGAAAAGCCGGGAGTGGCAGGTACGATTCATATCTACACCGACGCCGACGGTTCTAAAACAAAACAAGTCTCAGGAGGTGGAATATACTCCAGATTCTTAAATCTAAACATAAAATGGGCTGTGAGCAATAGTGCCAGTGTTGTTCAAACAGAGCTAACGGGAATTATCATAGCAGCAAAAGAAATAACCTGAAACAATATCACTGAAAGGAATATGCTCATCTATACAGATAGCAGACAAGCACTACTCACCCTGAACAGACCACGAATTTAATCAGGGTTAGTACTAGAATGTCACGAAGCTTTGTCTGAAGTATCCATCAACAATGTGGTCACCTCAACAAGAGCAGATATGGACAATCCACTCGAGTTGTGCAGTATATTTTTTCTACGAACTACTAACGAAAATCTACAAATTTAAAAAATTATTTTAGATTTAGACAAAATAAGCCATTTTAAAATAATTTATAAATTTTATTAATTTATAAAATAAAAAACATAAAAAAAGTTAGCCCCTATAGTCCAGATTCGAACCCAGGCTATTCGCGTGGAAGGCAAATGCTCTGTCCTCAGCTCCACCGCCACTTTTAGGTTTTTAATTTTAATACTCGTAATTAAATTAGTTTCATACAATTTGATTAAAATTTACTTTTTTAAATGTGGCCCAAATAAAATTAAAATGTTATTTTTTATCGATTCTAAACAAAAATAACTAATTTTAACGTATATGTAATCTTAATGACTAAAAAATATACTGACAGTTTGTCAGAATTTAAAATTTTAAAAATAATAGTAGTTGGATGTCCAAAATATGAACTGGGATTTGTGGATTTCATTATTTTGCAGTTTTCTCGCTGTTATGTTATGTTATGTTGGGAATGGGGTGTTAATACACTGCGACCTAAAATATCTATTGTGCCCCTTGTGTCGCTAATGCAGCAAGGAAATGTCTCAATGCCTATAACGACCCTTTCAATTATATCTTCTCAAGGAAGTGTAGGATTTGGAGTGGCTTCAAGTTTCTATTTGATATGCTCCTAGGTATAGTGTCCTTGGATTCTGGAATGCTACACATTCAGTTAGAATGTAAATGAAGGTTTCGTCCTTCTCCTCACAGAATCTTCACTCACTATTTTCAACTACTCTCAGTTTACTAAGGTGTCCTTTTAGTTGGCAATGCCCAGTAAGGATCCCTGTTACAAGTGTCGTCAGTACTAGAAAAATGTATATTATGATAACAGCTCAAAATACAATCTGGCTAATGTGGAATACCCCGAAAGCCTTGCCAGACTTGTCTAATGATCGTCAGGCGCGCTAAATTCTGCACGTTCGATTACTATTCCTCTCCTCGTTTAACTACCTGGCTTGTCAAGTCCGACCGAAATACGGTTTTATAACCGAAATCGAAACCCAATTTCGGCTCCTTTCTTAGTTTTGGTCGAAACCGAAACAGAAATAAGAACTTTCTTTTAAGGCAATCTCTTATTGAAATTTGCAATATCTTTGTTTAAGACTAATTAACTCGTATTATAAATTTTAGCTACATTTACTTATCACCTATTTATTTATGTGATCCAAAGAAGCCATTAATAAATTTATTGACATTGTTTTTTTTATTACTTTTGAAACTAAAAAAAAAAATAAGTGAATTACAAAGTAGCAATCATTTCTGCATCTGTCTCTAGATTTTTTGTAACAAAAAATAGTAATATGAAGGGAATTATATATAATGTAATTGCTATTAAAAAAAAAAAAACAAATTCAGATAATTAAATATGTTTGTTACTTATAATTAAATTAATATTCATAAGTAAACAGTTTAACGTTGTAGGCTAGAAATAATATTTTTTCCACGTTTCACCTAAAAAAATGCTCCTTTGATACGAATAAATTAGGCCAGGAGCACTGAAGACTGTTCACTTGAAACAAAGCAGAGAAGTACGTGCACTGTGTAGGAATGGACACAACCAAGTGTGATACGAAAACTTTCGAAAGTAGTTTCGTAGTTGGCTGCAGTTTCGGCCAGGTTTCCGCCGAAACCGAAACTTTAGTCGAAACTCTTATTTTAAGCCGAAGTTGGCCAAAACCGTTACCGAACCTTCGGCCGGACACTACTTGTGAGTCTGGCAGGCCTTCGTGATTTTAATTGTCAGCCAGACCTATAATTTTCACTTAGAATACCACTAGTGCCTAAATTATTTCCGAAATTTTTTTCGAACTTACGAATATTTTGAAATTTTTCCTGAGTCGAAGAGGATTGATATTTTTCTTAAAATATGCGTGAGTGAGCAAAAATTTACTGATAATAATTTAGGCACCAGTGGTAGGTATTGGGTAAGAAAATTTTACACCAAAATATCCAAATTTCAAAACTTGACAGACATACATTAAAACAACTAAAATCAAATTTTCAAAGCTGGCCATAGAACAATATATAAAACATATGCATAAAAGAGCTTCTCAACTGTCAAAAAAAATTTCAGTATAATTTCGTTCAGGGTACCCACCAAAAGAAAAATTTCCGGAAATTTTTCATGAAAGCGTTTGAAAATAACGGTATTTGATCTGCTATAAAATAGAGCTGTAAAATTATAATATAATCTATCACATGACAAATTTTCAAACCCGGGAAAATAAAAGCAAAAATATTATATTTTTTCGATTTTGAAGATATTACCAGACTCATTTGCCATTTTCGTAAATCAGCCAGACTTATTATTATTAACAGTTCATGATTATATCAATATATATGCTAAATTTTCTGCCACACTCACTTTCCACTATCTGAGATATTCCAAACTGCTATTTTTATAAGCTTTATGTTCTAGTTTAGTAAATGTAAAATATTTATGACTGGGAAAATAAGTGTCAGACTCAAAATGTTTGTTTTTTGTCACTAAGAGAACAGTTTATTTTCATATACACCGATTGGAAAAATAAGTACGAGTAAAATTCACTGCCTCCTGAACTAAATATAAAATTTCAGAATCAATCAAATGGCACGATTTTTCTTTATTTATAAATTTCTGTTCTCAAATCTGAAATGTGTGGATAGATGTGCGATAAATGTTCGAATTATTTTTGGGGGGGCTAATTTGGTTTTTGGGGGGATTAGCCCCCCAAGCCCCCCCCCCCCCCCTAACTTCGCCCATGACCTGTAGGCTGGCTCACGAGCTAGGAGGTACCTATAATTTTAGGAGGATGCACAATGGCCCTAATGAGGCCTAAATGCCGTGGGGGGTATCCCACCCTCCACACGTTACAGATACAGAGAGATCTAGGTGTATCATCTATTATCAATAGTGAAGCTGGTGGAGATAAATAAGGACGCGGGTTGTAGTACAGTGGTGTTGTGCCAAGCCTTCTAAATTTTTAGATTCCGAGAACTTGGAATGCAGGTAGAAATAGTTTGCAAGTTAGAGTAGGTTTCCAAAATGAATTAAGTAAAAAATTAACCCCCTTCGCCTTGACGCTTATACAAAATGAGGTAAATATGTAACTTTTACTCCCTTGAGAGTAAAAGTGACACTTCATCCCTCGTTTTAAAAATATGAATAGACAATTGCGTCAATTTTTACAGTCGCTGGTCCAATATTTCATTAACTTGATTACCTGTTAGTTTTGGATGAGCCCTATCCGTAATATCATATTGTCTAACGTCTCCATGTAACCAGTTGCTGAAATATAAGTATTTGTCGTCCAAAGATATTAAAATGTCGGTGATCATTCCTGAAAAAATTAAAATAATTGAGATTTAACCGATTTTTGATATAAAAGGGTTACCTGGTAAATAATCCATTCCTTCCCATCCTGAAATTTTTTTGGCTGGTACGTCAATGACTTTATCAGCAGTCCATTTGCCGTCGGGTTTCAGATGGAATCTAAAAAAAAATTATTTATATTATTTTTTCCTAATTTTTAGAAAAGCGTCATATTTAGAACTTTATCAAAAGGAACTTCGGCCTTATCAGCACTGGTACATAAATAACTATTTTTAACCTAGAGCAGAAAATTACGTCTTCTTAAGGACCGTTAGACGGTCTAAAGTATTTATTAATATAGGTACTCGAAGTATCTGTAGTTTTTTATTTCTTTAAAATGTTGTTTTTAAAATTATGGCGCATTAGTGGTGGCTAAACATTATCGTTGGTAAACACCGAACAAATCAAATTATAAAAAGAAGAAGACTGGTACAAAACGTGTGTGATTCACATAACTGAAAAGAAGAATGGTTTTGATGTTAATTCTCGGTCAAAATGTACGTTTCTAAAAGGAGATTAAGGGCATGGTCCGTTATTAACCGAAATATCGGTTACTCAATCCAAAACTAACCGCTTTGCTTGATATTCCTGAAAAATCTGTTAAATTAGGGACGCGGTTACCTGAAAATGGTGACTCAAACGTCACTTCACTAAACACTATATTTTTATGGTTACTATTAAGTCAATATGTCACAAAAGTGACGAAAATCTCGGCAAATGTAACCAAGAAATTAGTTTTTTCAGGAACCGCGGTTGGAAGTCAGTTAATATCGGACCATATTCTTAAAACGAAAGATTCTGACAGATACCCATGTCAGATATGTCAGTTGTCATTTATGAAAATGACTAGAAAATAAATGTGAATTTATTAATTTAAAATTAATTTTATGAAAGCTTAGTTCTTTTATTGTGTTAATTATATTGTTAGACATTTTTATAATGCCAATTTGTTCCTTTCACAATTATTGCTCAATTAAATTATTAGCCTTTAACTTCGGTATAGGGACCGTGCGTCATGACTTTAACGCCAACTGGTGACAAAAATGTGCACTTTTTGGGGGAGATTTATTAATGTTTTATACGGCATTAATTGTTTAGTAATTATTAATTAAATAAAGTCGAATTATTTTCGTAATATCATTATCGAAAAAACTTGTTGCATTCGTGGATGTACAAACACATCACTTTGGAAACCTGGATTTGATTCGATAGTAAAGAAATTTTTTAAATTTCCACAGCGTGTCTCACACCCAATGATATACATAATTACATATATTGCTTATCCATACGTAAATCAGACGACGAAAAGCGTATTTCATTGGGCAAAGTTTTCTTTTTATCTATAATCAATTTTGAGCACTTAATTGTAAACAAATCATTTACAGATCCGGTTTAGAAATTAGTCTTTAGTGTTTTCTTGTCATTAAGATTTTTACATATTTAAATAAATATTTTATATAAATATAATTTTTCAGATAATTAATGGTTTATTCTGTTAATTAAAATTAATGAAGAATGTTACTGTGAAATTAGAATGTCCAATTTGACAAAAATATCATGGCCCTCTTTACAATTTATTAACTATTTCTCATTTATCACTAAAATAAACAAATGATAATTAATACATTTTAATTACTGTCAAAAGAGATTGCAACAAACTTTAAAATATTAAAAATCAACTGATTTTTTGTAATTTTTTTTAGTAACATTACCATTACATAAACATTACTCAGAATAATAGATAAATGTCCAATTACAACTCTTAACAAAGGTATTTATTATCTCATATCAAAGTTGTTTACATTAAATTTAAAAGTTGTATTACATATTGAAATGATGTGTTTCATATAGTGTTATTTCTGAAATTAGAATGGTCTAAAATTATTTACATTCATCTGTTAATAAAAATTGTTTAGATCTCTTAATATTATTTAACTACACGGAAACTCAACTTTCAGAATACATAATAACGTGTCTTGAAGTAAAACTTTAATTATTTTTTTCTTCTAAATATTAAAATGCAAAATTTTATTTTAAAACACATTTGGGCTAGAACGGCACTAGGAAAGGCAATACATCAATACGCTTTTCGTAATCTTTTTTATAGGTGGATGAGGAATCTATATAATTATGCATACATTGGGTGTCTCATAAACGTCAAAGGTGGTTGAATGACATTTCGACTGACATAAAGCTAAAGAGAATATTATTCTCAATCTTTTTTTATTAATTTACATTTTTTTAATGTTATTGTAATACTTTTAAATTAAGTGTTACTAAATACCGATATTTTGACATTGGATACACTTGCTTAAGGTACAACTTTACAATTTATTGTCACTTAGCCATTTAAATTTTTTTGCTCAAAATGTATATACATGTCCAGATTTTAATAATTTTTCACATTTTATATCATTTTGACCATGTATATGATTTTTTATTACGGGCCGATATCTATATTTAACTATATTTAATATTTTAAAAAATATCCTTTATTTTTTACTTGCAATGTTTACCCCATTTAATTCTAAAATTGAACACTAGAGAGGGCTAACTTCGGCAGTAGTGCTGCCTCTATATTTCACGCACGGTCCCTATAATAATAAATTAAAGATTAAGCTTCTAATCTAAACCATAATGGTTGAAATATAAGTTTTTATTTTAAAATTCTAATCAATTGAATTTTTAATGTGCGATTGCTATTTCCATTTACCATTTTCCATTTTTTTTACTTGTGAAACTGATGCGAATATTGTTTTTTAAAACATCTGCAACTCGTTTGTTATTTTCTTTGTCCTTGATAAGGTAATCCAACAACGTTCTTCCTTATATGCACAATCCTTAGAATCATACCCAATGACATCATGTATTCCATATTTAACATATTCAAATATTTTTTTTTACCTGTAAACATTGGCGTTAACAGCGCAACCCACATATCCTTGCGCTTCCTTAGGATTATGCAAAAATCTCACTTCCAACGGACAAATTCCTTCCTCACCCAAATCAATCGTTTGAATTAGTTCATGTGTTTTCCAGGAGAAGAAGTTTATGCTTCGTCCGTATTTGTCTATGTCTGTTGCATGAGATGGATCAAAACCGTGTTTGAATAATCTTGGAGCTCCCCATTCACTAGATACCATTATGTCATGGTAGGGTTGGTACCAGAAATCGTAGTTGAACTTTGGTGCTTTGTTACCTTTGATCCATGTTCCTTATAAATAGTAAATAGTAAAATGATTAACAGAAATCTAGATGTTTTAAAAGAACTTTATTCCATTGGTACTATATTAAAATAAAAGAAGTACAAATTTAGAAATATGTTGAAAAGGTAGAAGAATCTTATAGTTAAAAAAAAATAGTTTACATGCGCAAGATTTTGGTTTAATTTCAAATAGCAGACTTTAGTTTTATAATATTTGATAATATAGAGTTTAAATTTTAGCTCACCTTTGACCTTCAAGCTCTTGCTGTCCACAAGAATAAAATCACATTTACCATTATCATCATTATCTCCCATTACAGAAATCATAATATCTCCAGTCGATAGACAATGAGTTGTATGAGGTACTCTACAGTTAAAATTGCGCATTTCTGAAGCGTCAATAACCTAAAAATATAATAAGAAGCGTGGAAAATATACCAGATTATTACCGAGGTGTCAAAAATATGAAATATTTAGGAAATTTACCTTGTGAAATTCTGGAGCTCTTGGATTTTTTCCAGTATCAACAACAAATATTCTGTCAGAGCCTAGTGCTGGTAAAATCAGTTTGTCCCTAGCAGGAGCATTTTTGCATCCTGTGGATGAGTGACAGCTGGAGCAAACGTTCCATCCAGAGTGGTGAAGCTCATCGTTTTTGTTACCAGTTCTTAGACGGTGGATAATCTAATAAAACAAGTAAATTTATAAATAAAAAATGAGTCTCGAGTTTCAACTCAACACAGGTTGGTACTATCACTATGAGCTGCATAATAGCCGATTTATAAATCGAAAAGTAATTCAGAACCAACTCTTTGATTTGAAATTTAAGAAGTTCGTCATTCTGCAACTGGTTTTACCCTATTTGAGGCTCTTCAGTTAATTATAGAGAGTTCAACTTGCAAAAAACTTTGTTTTGGACAGTTTAGAATCCATCTATAAACCAGGGGCGGTTTTTCCATTGGTTCATTTGGGCAGTGAACAACCAGTTAAATTTCATAAAAACACATTATTTTAAAATTACATAAATAATATAAAAATATAAATTTAATTTTAATATTTTTATTTTCATGTGTTAATCTATATTTTTTGGTATAACATTGTCCTCTGGCTGATCGCGTCTCTGTGGCACAGTATACCTAAGTATACTGTGTCAGAGGCGCATTATGATGAGTGAGCCTAACACGAGTGAGACGATATGGCGAATGCATATAGCTAAAAAGAGGAGGCAACCCGCCAACAGATCCTTCAAACTGTCGAAGAACACATTAATTAGCGCACCGCTCACAAACAAGGTTGCCAAACCAGTGTTGCCAGTCTAGTACAATTCACAATTGTACTAGATGTAGTACATTCTGCGTGCATCAGTGTTCACGAGTAAATATATATATATATTGTGTTCCTTGTTTGGGTTTGTTATGAATAAAGATCCCCTTTTTTCCCTTCAATGAATTAGATGTCACTACAAATAAAATTCGAAAAATCTGATACATAACAATAACATATTCTGGCAACACTGTATCAAATCAAACAAACTGTCATTCCGTCATTCCTCTATTATGATTATTTTTTGTGCTCATTTAAAAACCTGACATCATTATGGAAACGGAAATGTACAATAAAAATTTGATTAAGTAAAAGAGACAAATGGTTTTTTACTTTAAAAGTCTGAATCGGAAAAATGGATTAACCAGTTAATTTAATATACTCGATGAGAAATGTTACCTAAGAAATGGTATGTACATTTAAATAGTTTACCTTTATAAAGTTATCAATCGTGTTACCCTCTAACCAAGATCGTCTGTTGCATACAAACCAGAAATCTTTTATTTTAATGACATTTTTTTATTGCTTTGTTTGTATAATTTAGTATTTTCAAAAATATTAGATGTTATGGTAATTTGAATCACTGAAGGTATTAAATAAAAATAAGGCTATTGGTAAATTAGTTTACAGTTGGTAATAAAGAATGTCTTCAAATAAGAATGAAACATAAATTGTGATTTTGATTAGACACTTAACAAGTCACATCCCACATATCTACATGATCTGGCTAATCAATCCTATAAGTACATATCAAAACATTAATATACTATCTACAATTAAACAATAATTTGAAAATACAGATGAAGCCGATTTACCTATTTAAACAAAATTACTATTATTCTATTATTAAAACGCATTATTTTTTAGTAAACTTGGACATGCAAAAGCAGCCATAAGGGTAGGACATTAGTGAGAGCAAGAATACGTTGGAATGTGCTGTGAAATACACTTAGAAAGGGTCATATGGAAAATTAAGTGTGATAACATTTTACGATATGTATCTCACTAGTTCAGTTCACAGATTTCTGTGTTCAATTATGTCCTGCTATTTCAAACTTTTAGTATCTTTTGATAAAAGAAGTTGAATATTATTGTTGACCTTTTTAAATTGTTTAATTTACCTCATACATTTTTTTTTCTACTCTTCATACAGTATTCTGTAAAGAGTATATAGGTTTACTTTGTCTGTCTGTCCGATGTCACGTTTTTTTGTCTGCACGATAAGCCAAAAATGAGAAATTATATCAACTTGAAAATTTTAAGCAAAAAATCAAGCTCTATAAGGGGACAAAGCCTATTGATTTTTAACAAATCTGATCAAAATAGGGGTTTAAGATGGGTTGAAATTAAAAAAAAAATCCTAAATTAAAAACATGAAATTTTTATTAAAAATGAAGCTTAATAAGAAGATAAAGCCTATTGATACTGAAAAAAAATATGAATATATAGGGGAGTTAAGGGGGGTTAAAATATAAAAAAAAATCCTAACTGAAAAATGATATAAACTTGAAATTTTCAGCAAAGATCAATCTATAAAAGGAGAAGAAGCCCTTTATAATTATATAAAAAAAATCTGATTAAATATGGGGTATTTAAAGGAGGTTGAAATTAAAAAAAAAATCAAAAATGAAAAGCGATATCAACATGAAATTTTTATTAAAAAGCAAGCTCTATAAGGAGATGAGGCTTATTAATTGTGAAAACAATCTGGTAGAAAATGGGTAGTTAAGGGGGTCTGTTAAATTGCGAAGAGTATCATTTAGAATGCCAGGCATTATATATCATTATTCTAGTTTGTATCTGTGTAATAGTATGTGTTGTGATGGGACTTATCTTATAAAATAAATATTTAAAACATTTTAGTTCTTATTTCATTTGGCAATAAAAGGTATTTAAGAAATATATTTTTTATTTGACATCTGTGACAAATTGTGAAAATGATTAAACTTACAATAAAAACTGAAAAATGGTAGGTAAAGTTTCATATAATATTTTTTACACAAAAATCAATGTCAAGCTTTCTACATAACCTGATATATATTTAAAAATAATCTCACATTATGAATAAAAGTTAGTTTACTAACTAATAATGTTTATAGGTGGTTTTCAATGTATTAAAAACAAAAGAATATTATACTAACTAAAATATTCATTTATTAATAGTTGTAGTGTTTGAAAACAGTATGATGTTGATAATAATAACTACACTTAATACAAACTCAAATAATAAAAAAAAACAGCGATATTGGCTCTTGTACAAAGTTTTGAACCGAACTTACAAATTTTTGGAAAAAGTGAAAATTACCATCAGCTGCCACTGCTATAAACCATCTTCTGATATGGTTTATAATTTAAAATGTGTTCTTGTAATAGATGAGCATAAATCAATAGCTGTTGATGCAAAATGTCAAAACATTGACTAGAAAAAGGAGACAATTTTAGGCATTGTGAGTTAGTCCCATAGTAATCAATGTATTGTTATTAATTTTAAGCTTATTAAATATATTTTGAAAGCTTAGGGACAGAAAAAGTATGGAGAAGCCATGTAGACCATGTGGGACCTAGCCCCTTTCCTCATTTTGCTCCTATAGTTGATTATTTTTCTCCCCGCTAACAATAACATAAAGACCTTTTCGAAAAGCCAGGCAGCACTCAAGGCCCTAAGCTCCAATCGAGTTCCCTTAAAGCTGCTTTGGAACTGTATAAGTACCATTAAGTGTCTCGGTGCCTTATTTTGATTTGGGTTCCGAGATAGAGTGATGTGAAGGGGAATGAAAAAGCTGACGCGCTCGCTAAAAGAGCAATCAAATCTGAATTCATAGGATCCGAACCATTCCTCAGAATTACAAAGAGCACTGCCAAAGGAATTATCTTAAAATGGACGGAGGGTGTAACACTCATGAGCCACAATAGATCCATCTGGGTCGCAGGAAAAGTATTTACATACCTGACAATATGTTGGAGACTGTGGATCAACGTCAACAGTGGCCAAAAGGTCGAATTTATCATCACCTTCATTGGTATTAATGCAAATTACGTACAGTATTTTTTCCCTTGGTGCATTTTTCATAGCATCTAGTGGGCTAGCGTAGCCTGGTTCTAAAAAAAATACATGATTAATTGTACTATTGGCTAGAACTAAAATATAATGCAACGATCATGTAATAACCATTAATTAACAGAGCTGGGACGAATCCTCGAAAAATGGATTCGAATCACGAATCCGAATCACGAGAAGTGATTCGAATCACGGATCCAATGTTCGAATTCTTTAAAAAAAAAGGATTCGAATCAAGTGATTCGAATCCTTTTTTTCGGATCACGGATACGAATCACTGTCAGTGTTATACTGTGATATTAATTATATTTGCTTTCGAATCTAATACTGTTTTATACCTCGGTCCTAAAATATTTAACGCACTTCCGGTGGAATTTAAAAACCTAAATTCGATAGTTCTTTATAGATCTAAATTGCAACAATGGATATTAACTAAACAAGGACAAATATTTTAAGATTTTATTAATTTAAATATAACTAAAATCTAAAATCATTTAGATAAAAAGAACTTTACTTATTTGCAATTATCCAATTATTTATGTATATGATAATTATTTGTAAAATATTCAATGCTGTAGCTAATTTGTATCTATAATAAATAAAAAAAAAACAGGTATTAGAAATTAAAAATTAAAAAAAACCGACTTCAAAAATGTGCAGATGCCGTTATCTCATCTTAACCAAATTTACATGGAACCACCCCTGAGGTACTCCCTTACTAACAAAAAAAGAATCATATGAATCGGACAAGGTGGTAAAGCATTATCGCTAAACATACATAAAAAATGAAGAGTTTGAGGATTTTGTCATGGACCCAATTAGTAGATTTTGACCAAATTTATATGGGACCACCCCTGAAGTATCCCCTTTCTAACAAAATCATTGAAATCGGACACCGTGTTAAAGAATTATCGCTGAACATACATAAAAAAAATATCGCGACTAATTGAGAACCTCCTCCTTTTTTGATTTGTTAATTCTGTAATCGTGCACAACGCCAAATACATCGGTTTTCTATTCAGTCTCAGTTTGTTTTAGTTTTTAGTTTACAATTCGCGACAAGTCAAAGCTTGAGTCGGCCGTTCGCGCCGGCGCGTAGTTTGGTCTCTAAAAGGATCCGAGACTGATATTGATGATTCGAATACGAATCCTTTAGGATTTTCTCTGCGAATCCGGATCACGGATAATTTTTTTCTAAAGTATTTGAATCCCGCTCTAGGATCCTCAAAAAGGATTCGAATCCTATGTGATTCGAATCCTCCCTAGCTCTGTTAATTAATAACCATTTTTAGGCAATCCTGTAAATGTTATTTCTCCTAACCACGCTTTGGTAATGCCCAAGATCTCCGAGATGACGTAATCGAGTCAATTAAGCGAATCAAGACAAATATGACTGACTATGGGTCCAGATAATGTTCCTGCGTTTCTTGTAGTGATGGCTTATTTGTTTTTGCTAAGCCGCTTAGTATCATTTTTAATCTGATAATATCCACGTCTGTTTTTCCCGAGAAATGGAAAATTTCAAAAACTGTCCCTCTCCTTCGTTTCTATTTAAGTACTCGTTTCCAGTATATCCTTATTAGTGGTGTTAAATTTAGCCATTTTAGGTCCTTAATGCTTTATCTTCATTAATATTTGTAATAATGTAAATTTACAATATTGTGATGTTTGTTTATTTTCAAACAACAGTTTATTTATTAATAATTTATTTAAACACTTATTTATTTTATAACACAACTATTTCTAATTTAATAATAATCGGACAAGTTGAGCCTTAAAGGCCAAATAAGACAGAGAGGAATTGTAGGGTTAGAGCATGACTGAATAATGAAATGGCTCACATAACAATATTTATTCTACGCTGATGACCTGAAGCTTATTTCAAAGATTGATAACATCAATGACTGTACTGCAATCCGATATAAACAAAATTCACAATTGATGTATAATTAATAATCTTATGTTAAATCCTGCAAAATGCAACGCTATGTCATATAGGTACGCGAAAGATTGATTATATAAGATACGATTACAATATAGGAGGAGTCGTCCTGCAGAGACCTGACACGATTAAAGACCTTGGCGTTGTATTCGATTCAAAATTATTATTCGTTAATCATCTTGCCGTAACTGTCGCGTCGTGTTATAAAGTTTTAGGTTCCATTTTAAGGTCTATCAAAGATTTTAATAATCCAGATAATTGCAAATTGTTATTCAATACCCTTGTTAGGTTCAAGCTTGAATATGCCTCAGTAATATGGTCCCCTAATTATAATGCACACGTCTTAACTTTAGAAAAGGTTCAGCGACGTTTTATTAAGAGTCTTCATTATTATTTACATGGAACCTACCCCGAGAAGGGATATCCACAAGACCAGCTTTAAGAAATGTTTGAAATACAGAGCTTATTTCAATAATTTTCATTTACAAAATAGTACACAATTTAATTACGAGTAAATGCCCTGCTCTTTGTGCTTAGCTTAACTTTTTTATGCCTAGAATTACTTCTAGGCATAAACAGAACAAATTTACTATATCAGTCTCCATTGCATCGTATGCGGTCCACGGTTAATGACTTAAGTGGAGATATTGATTTATTTTTTACTAGCATTTCAAATATTAAAAATCTCTATTCTTAATCTATTGATTAAAAATCTGTATCGTTATGAAAAATCTGTATCATAATGGGTATCATTATGAAACGGATTATGAGCATATTAGTATATTACGTAACAAGAGCTGTAAGTGCTAAGAAAACGCGACATATTTTTCGAAATATTGTATAATATGTTGCCGACATTTAGGGGCATCACTCTTTTAATCCAAAATGTATCTCGCTAATGCTAAAAGTTTTTATGTTTTTTAAATGACTTATGTAAATGAATTTATGTAAATAGACCAAATAAAGTCGTACGTAGACAAAAATTTGATTGCAATTTGATTAAACCAAGAGATTTAAGTTTTCTTATCAAAACGCACGTGTATGTTATGAGATCTCATTACGTGCTTGTTATTGTTAAATTTCATTTAGAAGGAATGTTGATAGTGCGATTTTTAACGTTTACTGACATAGGCGTAAAAAAAGTGCATTATTATAATACGGGTGTAGAAAAATCTAGAATATCTTTATGACATTAAAAGATGAGGTACCTCTATTTTGTTTTTTCATTTATCGACATTGCGACACATATATTATTTATTATATATTTAATATTATTTTCCCTGTGAATTATCCTAGATTCCAAACGTACCTGGAAATTCATATAATAGCCCAAAGATACAGAGAGTCCAAATTAAAAACAAAAAATAAGCTCCTTTTATACAAATATATAATCAAGTCCAATTATGGGTATATATTCTAGTACAACTCCCTAATCCGAGACTTCTCTCAGACTCCCAAGACCTCCCCCTCACCGCTGAACTCCAGGATCTGCTGGAATCAGCCCCCCCTAAGCATCAGATAAACCGTTCCCAATCATATAATTAGAAATTCACAATATATGTACAATATCGTGATTTAGGTTTTGTGGCTTTGTTAAATCATATTCCCCACCCTATACTTGGACTTGTCAATTTATGGGGTTGGAAATAGCAAAATTGGCGATATTTTTGGGGAACACAACCTGCCACACACGGTCTAGGACATTTGGGCGCGACCGTTTGGGCCCGACCGTTTGGGCGCGAAGACGTCTGGGCGCGGGGACATTTGGGCGCAGGGCATTTGGGTGTGGGGCATTTGGGCGCGAGCTATTTGGGCGCGGGACATTTGGGCGCGAGGAAATTAAACACATATTATTACGAGTACTATTACTGTTTTATTTTCTAAAATAAAATATATATAATTTTATAGAAACTAAATTTTAAGCAGTCATTTTGTAATTGTATGAAATTCCACTTAAAAATTCAATAATATTCCTATTATTTGCGCCATGATCATTATTGTAATCTTCAATCATTTTTTTTTATTCTTTTATCAGGATTATGGATAAATTTTTGTTTTTAAGGTGTAGGCTCATTTCCCGCAAGTGCTTATAAGCAACATCTCTCCCCCGTTGGACAGTTTTCAGGCTGTTTATGAATTTCCGAATGGTTGGATGGTTCATCGACAGTTCTGTTTGTAGCCTTCTGTGTGCTGCCTCTGCGTGGTTATTTATCCTATGTCTGTCAATGCCCAATAACCCGACTACATTTTGGGCAGAGTCGGAACATCTGGGGGAAGGTGTACCATTTTTATATTTTATGGAATATAGCTGTTATTTACGTTTGGAGAAGAAAATTCTTCAAATAAAAGTTACACACAATATTATTATCTATAATTTTTGTTGAGTACCAAATTTTCCTAAAATAGTCCGTATTCGAGAAATTTGACAAAATAAAAATAAATTATTTTTTTATAAAAATTGTTTAAACAAAAGTTGTTTGTAATATAATTTTCCATAGTTTTTATTCTATACAAAATTTCTCTAAAATAGAACTTATTCGAGATATTTAAGAAAATGTGTAAATTACGAATTTTGAAGAAAACTCAAAAACGGATGAAGGAAATAACATTAAATTTTAAACTTAAGTTTTACTTCGGCCTGAGGTAAAATGATTAGATTTTGGACAAAGTGGGAACATCTAGGGAGTACTTTATAGGAGGTCGTTTTTATATTTTATGGAATAAATGTTATTTATGTTTGGAGAAGAAAATTGTTTAAATAAAAGTTACTTCTAATATTATTATCTATTTTTTTGTTTTAAGCCAAATTTTCCTGAAATGGGCCGTATTCGAGAAGTTTGACAAAATGTGCAAAATTCTGATTTTTAAGAAAATTGTTTGCGATATCGGTATCTATAATTTTTATTTTTTATATGATTTTTCTAAAATGGACCGTAATGGAAAAATTGGAGGAAAAGTGCTAAATTTAAATTTTTCAGTATTTTCGTTTTCAATGAATATCTATATAAAAATGTTTCGAGTTAGATGTATGTGGAAAATGTATATATTTAGTTTATCCTCCAAACATTTACAGAGGTGATGCAATAGGTTGTACAAAATAACCGGAAAAAACTTGTAATAACTAGATAGGAAAGTTGGACACATCAGATTTTTATTATATTAATTGTAGTAAAAAATACTAAAAACTTTTACTGACAAAAAGTTACTGAAAATACAAATTCGAAAAATATAACCCATTAATCAAAATTTCCGCGCCCAAACGTCCTTGCGCCCAAAAGGCTCCGCACCCAAACGTATCGGCGCCCAAACGTCTTCGCGCCCAAACGTCCCGCGCCCAAATGGCCGCGCCCAAACGAGCGCGCCCAAATGTCCGGCTCCGTGCCACACACGACCCACACGCGCACACGACACCATTATGAGGTTACTTTTGTAATCAGGGCAGACCACCCTGAAAAGGAGGATAACTCCTATAGCAGGGAAATAGGAAAATAAAATGTCCTAGAAAAATGTAAAACACTTATGAAAAAGTCAATAATAAACAACATAAACAATTCCAAATCATTCAAACTACATTTACGTACATTGAATGACGTGATCAAATCTACACATCTCAGATGCATTCGATATGGATATTCAAACGCAGCAATTATATAACAGTATAGAGAGTGGTCCACAAAAAATGTTTTTAAAGTAGGACGTGACCAACAAATTTTTTGTGTATTACTACTCCACAAAAGCAAAGATATTTGTAAAATTCTTTATAAAATCCTAGGATCTAGTGTTGCATAAACATCGATAGTAAGAGCTTTTGATAGTATCGATAGGTTTTGATAAATACTATCGATAGTATCGATGTACTATCGATAGTTTTAAAAGGTATTTGAAAAGAACAAAAAGCGAGTGAACAAGAAACACTGGTATTTCCTAAAAAACAATATTGTATATTCGACTTACAGTTAAATCAAATAGAAATGAATGGAGAATAAAGAGAAATTGTTACCAAGCTTATCAGCAACCTGTTATGGTGTCAAGCAATTTTCCGACATTATAGCACGTCGTATTATTGGAAACATCGAAAGGCTTTAACTTTTATTCCGCTTTGCGTCATTTTTAATGTACAACCCATTGAGAAAACTAACTGCATTGGCAATTGACATCCTACTAAACAAAGACGCAAATACACTGAGTGCACATTTTTTATGTGAAAGGCCACTAGACTCGACGGCCTTCTACTAGAAATGTTTCGACTATCGATAGTTCTTTATAAAACTATCGATTGTTCCGATAGTTGATTTAACATCGATGCTATCGATATACTATCGATGTTTATGCAACACTACTAGGATCCTCTATAAGTAGGTTTTTAAGAATTAAAAATAGAAATTATTTGATTTCATAGTTTGATTTTTTTGCATTTTTATCACTTTCTCTAATATTTATTTTGTAATCACTTACCTGGGTTAACCATATTGTTGGTTGTTGCTCTTTTTGGTTTGGAGGTTACGGACAAACTAAACTAATATTTATATTATAAGTATTTATAAATAATTATATACACATGCAATAAATTATCTGTTTCGACTGATTTGAAATTAATATACCGTTATCGTCTCAGCTGTTTCCGTTTCACTCTTATACTGAGAGTTAGAATAGTGTGGTGTGGTGTGGAATAATTCTACTTTCAATTCTACACATAATTACAATTTTATCTATAAGATGATCTCCAACAATTTCAATTTTTGTATAATATTACGAGGGCGCATCAATATTTTAGTTTTTACATACTTATGTCAACAAAGTTTCAACAAAGTTTCAATAGATTGAGATAATGAGTAAAACGCATTTTCACGATTATAAAAATTGAATCTAATATATTAGAGTATTGTTATGATAGATATTAAATTAATTTAGCCTTTACTAGAAGATTTATTTGACACATCCAATATTGAAGAAGAAAAATGACACTTTTTAAACTTGGAACACTTCTGCTTTCAATGAAAAAATGATACAGAAATGAAATAAAAAGGCTTTTATATAAAAATACTTTTATAAATAATTCACATTCATCACCCGCTACATTTTGGAGCAGATCCTCCTCTAGATTTTCAACTGCATTGTTTCTCCTACTAAGGAGTGGTAAGTTTAAATAAAACGGATGGTGACAGGGTGGCACATAGTGCAGCATTTTTTGGTAGGTTGGTGCCTTAGGACCCTCAAACCTTATTTTTACCGAAAAAGAAACTTCGAGTGCGTTGCTTATCACTAGCTTCTCTAGGGACGCGTTTTACATCTCATAGGTAAACTTATTTTCACAGTAGCACATAGCTGTGTAGTTTGTCCGTTTCAGTCCAAACTATACAATTTAGAGTGAATACTCTATTGTATCTTTGTAGAAACATGGTCACTACACTTCCTCTTGCAAATACATGAAATAGAAATAAAAGCTTTTGCTTGTATAGTTTTTCCAGAATAACTCATATACTGTTTACCTTTATTTCAGTTTTCTTTAATAACATTTCTTTCAAACATCTTCTCATTTCTGCGTTTTCGAGTTCTTATTTATACTACTTCTTCTGTTTGCCCCATATTTTGTGAACTTGATAAAGTTTCTGCTCTACTTGTGTTGGGTCTGTTATTAATATACCTGGATATATTTTCAACATTTTTAACTTCAGATTTCGATTCTTTTAATGGACGATATGATTCACTACTGTCATTGTAAGGGTCTGGTTCTAATTCCAAAAATAATTGGTGTTCACGTGTTCAGGACAACCTTTTATCATCATCAAGGATCACATTAATAGCAAAACTCTTGTACTTAAACGTACACTCGCCGATTTTGTTGGGGCATCGTTACTCGTAGTAGTCCAATCTGAGTTTTCAACTAAAGCAGCTTGTTTTGCTAAATTAACTAATTTTTTAGACAGGAAAACATTTTCACAATAATTAACAACACAAATTGGCAAAAACAATCAATATTAATCCATTACACAAGTGACAACAATCGACTTGGATTAATTCTGCACTAAGTTCAAATGTATGAAGACTAGTTCAAATGAACAGTCAAATGATCCAAGTAACAATCAAGTTACTTAGATCACATCACTAATAATTTTATATTTCTAAGGTAATGTAAAATTGTTAAAAATAGGACTTTGTTAACATAAATGATGACTAACACTTGGATTACTTTTGCCAAAAAAGTTCAAAAAGTGACATAGCTCAGTTTTCTAAAAATGTTACTTGGATCACTTCTGTTCTTAACCAGCCATATACAGATTTCAATAGATGCAGATTTTAAAAGATACAGATTTCAATAGATACAGATTTCGATAGATATAGATTTCAATAGATACAGATTTCTACGAATACAGATTTCAATAAATACAGATTTCAATAGATTGAAGATTTCAATAGATTGAGATTTCAATAGATTCAGATTTTAATAGATATATATTTCAATAGATACAGATTTCAAAAGATACAGATTTCAATAGATACAGATTTCATATAGTGCGAGGGATGTTTGACAAGTCTGTAATAAATTACATTTATTTAGGGGTAAGTCTTAAAATGGACTTTCAATTTATAATTTAATTAAATTATCACAAATATTTATAGTGCTGTAGTAAAATCAAAAACATTATACATGTCCAGGGGCGGTTTCTCCATTTGTCACTTGTATTCGACCTAAATTGTACCGTTGTTTCCACAGGAGGGTGATGCACATCAGGTGAGATTAAAAATCATCGGCGAGGAGCACTGTTAGTTCAACAGGGGACAAAACGAGGTCAAGAATAACACCCCTTGTGTTGAAGACACTGTTGAACTCAAAGATGTTGTACAACGTACATATATTCAAGAATATTTCAATAGCACCTGCTTCAGCCAATGAAGATGTGGGATAAGAAGTAGCTGAAGAACAGAAATCTTCAATTTCCCATATTTCTGTAGGTAGATTATGTTCTCCAAACAGGTAAAACTGACTGTCTGGATATTTTTCAGTTGATCATAATGAAGTTGATATAGGTTAGGATAAGATTTGGGAGGAATGTATATGGTACCTAAGATGTGTTTTCCCTTACTTTGATCCAGGTGAATAAATTGTTGCTCAATTGATCGGTTTGAGTTGATAATAGTTGAAGATAATGCTTTCCTAACGGATATTAAAACACCAACTCATCTGTTAAAGATGCTTGTCTGGGATGTAAGATCCTGTCTGTAGATATTGTAATTGTTTAGGCCAAGTTTAACATCGTTGATCTCATCAGTGAATCATGTTTCCATAAGAATAATTAGATCGTATGAACAGTTTGAGACATTAAGAATTAAATGAGATAGTTTGGTTCGAAGGTTTCTTACATATTGATAATAAATATAAAGCTTCAACAAGTCAGATAAAAACGTCACTGTCAGAGTCGAATTTTTATCTGGGTGCTGATATTTTCTGCGTTTTTGGCTAGAAAAACCTTTATAATCGGTTTTATTTATTTGGGATCCTTTCTCTATAGTTTCATTGCTAAGCCGATTATAGTTTCTGATTACTGAGAAGGAAATTTCCCTAAACTATGGGGGAGGAAATTGGCGGCGACAAGCCGCCCGAGGTAAGGACTGATAAAGAAACAAATGAGATCAATAAAGCTGATGAAAACAGGTATGTTACGAGTATGATAGATTTAGAGAATCGCTATAGACCAGGTGACAATGGTCCATATTTTGTGTTTATTGAGCACAATAATAAAAATGTTGGAAGACTTTTTCCTATTAAAATAGGACATTTTTTGATGACGGTCGATACATTGAAAAACGATGTTTTGGATATTAAATCTGTGGGTATTAATAGGGTTAAAGTAATATTTAGATCTTTAGTAATCGCAAATTCGTTAGTTAATAATGATGTTATAGTTGAAAACGATTTGATTGTATATATTCCAAAGTTTTACACCCATAAGAAGGGTGTAGTTAGAATGGTAGATACTTTTTTCTCTGAAGAATATTTGTTAAATGCAATAATTTCAACTAAAGAAGTGGTAAGTGTACAGCGAATAAAACGTAAGGTAGTGGATACAGACGGAAATTCATGTTTTGTGAATAGACAGATGATAATTGTACAATTTTTGGGTAACGAAATTCCACAGACTGTTCAAATTAATTTATGTAATTTTACTGTTGAGTCCTATGTACAGCCAGATGTACAGTGTTTTAAGTGCTTACGTTACGGTCACTCGGCTAGGCAATGCAAGTCTAAAGAGAGTAGATGTAAAAAATGTACTGACACGAATCATAATGATGACGAGTGTACAGATGTTAGTCGGTGTATTTATTGTCAAAATACTGAGCACCCTTCAATCTCACGGAAATGTCCAATTTATACAAAGCAGAGAAACATTAAACAGATTATGGCTCGTGAAAACATACTTTTAGAGAAGCGGAACATATATATATATAATAATCCTTCTTACACAAAAGTTACTACAAACAATCGATTTTCTTTATTAAACGATATTAACAACTTTCCCCCATTATCTAATAGTTCCAGTAGCCATATATCGACTTATACAATAAAAAAACCTGTTACAAAACCTGCCAGCCCAAGGGTAGCAAAACGAAAATTTACACCAACATCCCCCTCTATAAGTTCTACTCTGGTGAAAAAACTTACAACCTTAAAGCTAAGTCTATGCCTATTATCCCCAATCCGCATAGGGATGACTTTATGAATTATAAAGATAAAATTGTTCTACTCGTTACAGCAGTTGTTAATCAAATAACCAGACCAATCCCTTCTGGTTCATCAAACTTTATTTCAGATTTTGAAATTAAAAAAATTATCGACAATACGTTAGAGTCTAACGACTTGAATCGGGATATGATGGAAATAAGTAGTGAATCAAAGTATGGAAGTGAAAAAAATTTCTACTAAAAAATAAATTACATCATAGTTACCCAAAATAAATTGACAGAAAAATTAGCTATACTACAATGGAATAGCAGATCTATTGTTGCTAATAAAAATAGTATTCTAAATTATATTAATGAAAATCATGTAGACATACTATATTATCTGAGACATGGTTAAAACCATATAATAATTTTAGTATAAAAGGTTATAATTCTGTACTAAAATGTCGAGATGATGGATACGGTGGTGTTGGCATTTTTATTTTACAAAGTATCTCTTATCAAAAGATTGAGGTAAACGAAAGCTTTGACATTCGTATAGAAGTATGTGCAGTTCATATTACTGAAAGCGATATCTTTTTAGGTTCAATATATAAACCTTCTGATGTAGCAGTTATTCAAAATGATTGGATCAACCTCTTTCAACAATTTAAACTCCCATCTACTATTTTTTGCGGTGATTTCAACGCACACCATGGTTTATGGGGTCCTATCCCAGATGATCGTGGTGGAAAAAATCTAGTTGAAGACATGGATTATCTTAAACTCATTACGTTGAATGATGGATCCCCAACTAGAATTAATCCCAATGGAATCAACTCTGCAGTTGACTTAACTCTTACCTCCCCTCTTTTAGCAGATCGTTTAAGTTAGTCGGTATATCCAGATTCTTTAGGTTCAGACCACTGTCCAATTAAAATAGAAATACAAATATTTGAAATCAATCCAAGTACCAAATGGAATGATATGCGAGCTGATTGGCCCGCATTTCAGTCTTACTTAGAAAGCGAACTTTCGCCTCTTTTTATATCATCCAATTATTCAGACAAAAATACTTCAACTGATTAACGCTATTTCTTCAGCTGCATCCAAATCTATGCCTACTAAAAAACCTTTTACCCCTTTATCTCGCAGGCCCTATTGGTGGGACAAGGAATGTTCAACCATGGTTAAAAATCGTGCAGAAGCATTAAAGAAATTCAAAAAACAAGGAAATTTTAGTAACTACCTACACTATCAAAATATTGCTGCTAGGACTAAACAGTTGTTCAAATCAAAACAAAGAATTAGTTGGAGGTCTTTCTTAAATAAATTAAATAAGAGTACTCCTGTATCCTAAATTTGGCACCTTATTAGATCTATCACTAATAAATATCACCAGAAAAAAAAGCCCCCCTTAGGCAAATAATTAATTAAAAATATTCTGGATAAACTAGCTCCCCCATCTGTTCCTGGTAACCTATTTAGTTGTTATAATAACCGTTTTCAATTTATTTCCAATTCAAATCCTTTATCTATTCCATTTACTCATGAAGAACTAAATTTAGCTTTAAAAAAGAGCCGAAATTCTGCCCCAGGACTGGATGGATTCACATATAAAATTTTGTACAATCTTCCTGAAGTAGGAAAAAATTATTTTTACAGTTTTTTAATAATTGGTGATTAAAGCAAGAATATTCTGATATATTCAAAAATATAATCATTTTTCTTGTACTTAAACCAAATAAAACCATAGATGTCCCGTCATCCTATCGACCCATCTCATTAATGTCATGTGTTTCCAAAACCTTCGAGAGGATGATAAAATTTAGACTAGAACATTTTGTTGAAAGTAGGTCTCTCTTGCCTAGTACTCAGTAACGATTTCGTAGAGGTCAAGGCACAATTGATGCCCTAACACACTTAATTACTAACGCACAAATTTGTTTCTCCAAAAATAAGTATATGTTATGTTTATTCATAGATTTAACAGGCGCCTATGACGTGGTTGATCTAGGTATTTTACAATCTAAGATGAATAAAATTGGCATCAATTATAAGGTATCTGCAAACATAATCAACTTATTTATAAACAGAAAGATATTTGTCCGCGATCATAAAAATGTACTACATGGCCCTAGAACCGTATATAATGGTCTACCACAAGGAGCTGTTTTAAGTCCACTTCTTTTTAATATATATACAGCAGAACTGCATGATTTGATGGATGATACCTTTAAAATCATCCAATATGCAGATGACATATGCTTTTATACCATCCAAAATTCATATGAACGTTGTATGAGAGATTTAAAATATGTATTTTATTGTTTGAAAGACTGGATTAGTGACATGGGTTTTAGTATTTCACACAGACACAGACAGAACTGCTAAATATTGCTCATTAGGTGACTTGACTATACTCATAGTTAGTGAATACAAGTACCTTGGTTTAGTTATAGATAAAAAATTGCTATGGACCAATCATATAAAATACATAAGGCAAAAGTGTGATAAGGGACTTAATCTCCTACGTATAGTAACTAAAAATAAGTGGGGTGCAGACCCAAACATCGCCTTCACATTTTATAAATCTTATATTCGTTCTATACTGGATTATGGATGTACTCTTTATGGATCGACGTGTAATTCAAATTTGTTATCTGTAGATCGAATTCAATTTAAAGCCTTAAAAATATGTTTAGGGGCTATGGTATCGTCACCTAATCATGCAATTCTTGCTGAGGCACAGGACCCGCCTCTGTGCATTCGAAGAGAATTTTTAACAAATAAACAAGTTATTAAGTATAGGTCTTTTAGTAATTTTATGATCACCAAAATTTCAACTGTAGCTGTAGAGAACTTAACGAATTTATACTGGGAAAAGAAGAACTCTCCCCCTCTTGCAAATGCTTTTATTGATACTAGTCCATATAATAACCAAATTGAAACATTTCAGAAATTACCCATATATGAAATTGAATTCAAAATTCTGATATCTAAACCAACCATTATTATTCCGAAATACTCAGATATTGCAAGCCTTACGAAAACTATCTTTAAATCCGTACTCAGTAATTTGGGAGATAATTTAACTACTATTTATACAGATGGATCGAAAAATGGTTTTGGTACTGGTAGTGCATTCCTTATTTCAGACACTAATTATATAGAATCATTTAAATTACCCTGCTTCTGTTCTATATTCACAGCTGAATCAGTGGCGATTCTAAAAGCCTTAGATTGGTGCAAAGCAAATTCATTTCAGAATATAGTTATAGTGTCTGACTCCCAATCAGTTCTGCAGGCTATTGATAGCCCTTCCATAATTCAAAACAAAAACGCGATAATATTATCCATTAAGAAAATTATATTTGACCTTAAACAGTGTAGCGTTAAAGTTTCCTTGGTTTGGGTTAAAGGACATTGTGGCATTGCAGGAAATGAACATGTGGATAGGGCTGCTAAAGAAGCATGTAGTTTAGAACAAATTACATTATTTTGTAGTTTTATAGATACTATTAGCATTTATAAAAAGGATGTAAGAAATAGATGGGAAATTAAATACACTGAGCATGTGAAGGCATCACAAAGTCACTATTATAGTTTACATCCAAATCTTCCTAAGAAAATTCCTTACATCAGTTCATGGAACTATAATAAATATCAGTCATCTATAATTACTCATTTGAAGCACAATCGCGGCCGATTCCCTGCACATTTATGTAAAATTGGAATATTGGATTCTCCCTTTCGTCCATATTGCAATATTAACGCTGTAGCAGATATCAATAATTTATTATTAGATTGTGATAAAAATGCTCAACATACCTCCGTATTATATCAAGATTTAAATAAACTTTCACTCCCACTTCCACTCAATATTTCTTCACTTTTAGTTCAATCAGATAAGATAATTTTTGGACGCTATTATTAAATTTAC